TAAGGAGTTACGTCTAAAACATTTAAAATAAACACAAAACTCTAAACAATCAGGTCTCTTGCTTGGTTGTGCCAATAGAAACCTAAACACAGGAGGGGCTGAAGTTGCATTATATACAAAAGGCCGGCACCCTGGATTGGCAAGACGGGGAAATTAAGTGTTGCCTTGTACGATTCCATTTACAACATCTGTGGCTATTTCAGGCTCATGGGCTGAATTTAGAGTTTTTATCTGTTGTGATTGAATGCATTTCTGCTTCTATATTGTAGCATTTGTTAACAACTTTTTGCAAAATGATTTATTTCCTTTCATTTTGCTTGTGTCTAAGATAGCAGTTTCTTGAAAAATAAGTCCTTAAAATAATCTAAACCAACAACATTCTCAATGGTTAGATATGTCAGAGAAAAAACCTGATGTGTTCCTAAAGCAGTTTTCACATGTACTCTCCTGAAAATATCATTTCAGGAGGACTGCTCCGGATATTGTCCTGATCTGGCTTTTCACATATGCACCTCACAGCGGGAGACTATCCCTGTCAGACGGGAGGGGGACGGGGGGTTTAGACGTGATGGTAAAAAAAGTTGCGGAAATAGCGGACGAAGCTATACGATGCTATAATGAGAATATTTGCCTTTATATCGTTTAGTTCAGCGGAATCAAAATGTCAACAAAAGAATGGAGAAGAACATACTGACGATCAGAAACCATTATGCAGCCTTTTCTTTTATGTGTACGGAGATTGTAGCGGCTGTGGGCAGAAAGTCAATGCACTGACTCCAGTCACAGTATATAAACGTCACTCCCCACTCCCATTGGCTTGAGAAGAATTCTCCAGATAATATCCTGCTGCGTTCTCACATCAGCCCACTCTGACTTGCTGCGGATAAATAGGGCTGGCAGCAAAGACTCCAGGTGAAGTCCGGGTGAAAAATGTTTCACCAAAAAGATCAGCACATCACAATGGTTTGACCGCCTTACACAACAGATATCAATGGAACAACGATCAGCCACACTCAAAAACCAACTCACAGAATTCAACAAAATATACTCCACAATTCTCACCACCATTTTGATGCCGGCAAGTTGATGCCACAGCAGAACCAGGAAGGAAAACGAGGAGGCGAGAGGAAATTAGTACAACAATTTTAATATAATTTTCAAACATTCTGTATTTGGCAATCATCATGTTAGCACCCATACAAAATGAAAAACAAAACAAAAACAAACAAATAGCACCAGAAATCGTCACCATGTGTACAACCTATCCCACCAGTTTTATTTTACATAATTTTGTTACTACACTGTCCCCATGTTTTTCTTTGTCCTGTTTGCTCATTTACTTATTTTGTCCCTGTTTTTAATTCATTAATTTTATTTACTAACCCTTTTGTTTTGTTTGTCTGTTTGTTTTTGTCTAAATCTACTTGCAAAACTGTATCGTACCACAGGTCTCCTCTTGTTTGTATCTCTTTTTCTTAATGTGTGAGTGCGTGTATGATGTGGCTGTTTGCATTCACACACACAGCTCCTCTGGCAAATATCAGGAGTTTTCTACAAGTGTGTCCCATAAGTCTGAGAGACAAAACTTCCCTTTTACTGTATGTTTTTTTTTCCTCCAAGTGGCTGCGCTTAACAGCACATTCTCACATTTCTGGCTTTCTGTTGTCCACTTGGACTATCTGGTGCTGTGAACTGATGAATTTTTCAAACTACCTTAAATATTAAATGTTTCAGGCAGTATTCATGACTAATTTATTTCACATATTTAATGTGTGACCTTTCTAGTTTGACCTCTAATTTCGGAAATACACTGTGAAACTAATCAAATACAGAAAATGGCACATTTCTGTTTATAGTACCACAGACAGACAGAGTACATACATTTGTCGACAACTTGTCAATGCTGATGTAGTGCAGCTGTGAAGTTAAGAGGGCCATCACACACTCATTATTGCTGCAGCATATACTAGTATAAGACATCCCTTGTGTGCATAAGGCAGCAGGCCCAATGGTTGTCATGGCTTAAAGTTCCAGCTCCAACAAATAGGTACATCCATGCTGTTTTAACATTGAGAGTATAAAACCAGATGCTACTGTGACACCAGTCATCATAGCACATAAGAACAACTGAGAACGTATGAAGGACATGTTGCTGTCTGTCTGTCTGTCTGTCAGTCTATGTTTCTGCTTCTCATTCCACTTTCCCAGCTCAGCAGGTCATGGAAGTTTTCCTTGGAAACTATTAAACCTGCTCTTTATAGTATCCCAAGATAACTTGTGTTGTGATTTAGTGCTTTAAGAATAAATATTAATGTATACTGTAAATTGACGGATCAGTTACATACCATTTGAGGTTCAAACTTTCTTCTCTGTATGCACTAAAACAAATGAATGGTATAAGGACTGTTGCTTTCACATGGCACAGAAAAAGAAAGTCTGTATGGTAAACTCCAAATTTGTTTTTTGCATTTGACAGCAGATAATCACTGGAAAGAAAGGGTGGGTTTGGGCTACCTACTACAAGTAAAGTAAGCTTTAATATAGTATAAGCTAGTTATGATCCTGTCATTTATGTGGGCCCTTATGACGAGGATCTGCTCTATGACACAACCATGACCCGAATGGCCCAGACTTTGGCACTAACATCCAGGAAGAGAGGGAGGTTGGTACACAACCCAAACTTCTCTTTCACTTTTCCACCCTCTTTGCCCTTACTTTTTTGGCCAATGTCGGTCTCTCTCTGTCTCCCCAATAGCCTAGCTCTGGGCGCATCTAATTGAAAGCGATCTCGAGGCTGAGAGAGTTCCGTTTCTTCTCTAATCTCTCCACTGGGGGAGGCTCACATGGTCTCAATTACCCCACCCCAGAACACTATCCCCTCTCTCCTCTCTCCCACTATCCGTCTCACCGACTTGCTCCTCTGCCAATGCACCGGCCCAGGCCCTTTTTCAGCAGTTTATGTTATTAAGCACACACTGCCTAGTTCCTGTCCTTCACAGGGGACTGGAGATGCTATCTCCCCTGCTGCCGTATTCAGTTACCTCCAAAATATTCCATAAATTAGATTGGGATTGGCAATTCGGAATATAGAAGTGGAGGCTTTGGTGGTCAGGGATTGGCTGGGTATGGGAGTAGGGGTGGGGATGAGGATTAGGGAAGCGCGGTGTAAGTAATAGCATAGGAAGATCTCATTCTGTTCACACTGGATGGAGAACCATAAGGAGGTATGTCACTGGCAAGGTAAAGGTGAACAGAGGCGCATAAAAGCTTTCGGAGGAGACCAAAATCCAGACCCTCCATGGATAGATTCTTTCAGAGGTGGAGTGGAATATCTAGTCTGAATAGACTGGGCACTGGGTTTGGGGGGTTATGTGCCTTGATACGCATGCATCCTGTGTCTGTAATTAAATAATGCTGTATTTGGACAAGTGACTTTTCAAGCTGTTAATAGCTCTGTCAATCCTAAAAGCGAGGAGAAAGGTCTTAAGCCAGTACATCCGTGGCCAATTAGATTAGGAGGACCCTGTGAGGTCCCCAAACAATGGGCTCTCAGAGAATCTGCAATAACACAAACATGGCCCCTGACACACAGATCTACAACTTCAAAAGAAACCATTATAGGTTATATTAACTGAAGCAGTTAAAGACTCATATTAACAATCACAAATTAAATATGTTGCTTTAGTGGCATATATAGTTTTGTCATGATTCAGTCTTTAGTTTGTATGTTGTCCATTTCAAAGTTAAGTTTTCCTTGTGGTTATTCATCCTAGTGTTGCTTGTTTCCCTTGTGTGTTTTTGTCTTAATGTTTCATAGTTTAGTCTTTAGTGTTTCCTGTTTTATTTTGTAGTTTCTTATCCTTGTGTTTCTTTGTTCTAGTGGTTATGTTACATTCTTGAGTTCTTTGTGTATCTTAGTGTTTCTTGATTTATGTTGTAGTTCTAGTGTCCAGTGTTTCTTGTCCTGCCTCTGTGTGTTTCCCTCCATTGTGATTGCCCTCATTGTCTTCACCTGTGTCATTAGTCTCACCTGTGTTTGATTACCCCTGTGTCTATTTAGTGCAGTGTTTCTTCCCTAGTGTTTCTGTGTCAGTTCATTGTCATATGTGAGTCTGTGTTGGATGTCGGCCGTCTTCTGCTCTAGTGTTTTGACTTCTAGTTTTTGGTTTAAAGTAAGTTTTGTTTTTTTCCTTCTGCCTTTTTGTTAAATTAAATCCTTTTGATTATTCTGCACCTGGGTCCACCTCCCTTGTTTTTCCACAACTGTGACAAGTTTAGCCTTTGATGGAGCAGGTCTTATACAGGGAGGCAATGAAATCACATTTTTTTTCAGGTTGTAAATCATAAATCTGCATAGACAACTATTCAGGTAACATGTTTGTTTTTTTTTGTCAGGGTTTCGTCTAAAAAAAAAAAAAAATTAAAACACCACATAGACAGTAATTGTTTACCAGTCAAGCAGTTTCCTAATCTGAGCAGAGTAAATATTATTGTTAATTTAAGAGAAAAATGGAAAGACACACAGAGTAAGAGTGGGGTACCTATAGTATGAGCCAATGTTTGGTCCTTGATCACAGTTAAATGGGCAGGCTTTCAGTTAAGTTTTACTGAGATGGTATGATCTAGAACTAAAAACAAGAAGGAAATCGGAGCACTGGGTTTATAGGTCAAAGGTTCAGTCTTAACCTTGGGGGCTGAATGGTCTATATTCTGTTACTTACTTGACTCCTTGATAGCTTATGTTGCACACTGTCCCTTTTATTTAGGAGAGGCTGTGGCTCAGTTGGTAATGAGTCAGTCGTCTCCCAACCAGAAGGTTGGGCAAGACGCTTAACCCCAAGTTTCTCCCACTGCTTCGTCGGCGTCATATGTATGGGAATAGTTACTTCTGATGGTCTCTTAACATGGCGACCTCTGCTATCAGTGTGTGAATGGGTACATGTGACATGTGGTGTAAAAACACTGTAAGTAGTCAGACGACCATAAAGCGCTATGCAAGCTCAAGTCCATTTACAATTTATTTAGTGCTGATCTCTTGAGGAGGCAACAGTACTGAAACAGGTCTTAAGATAAGCATGTGATGAACTGAGGCGGTTGGAATACATTTTAAGGTGAACTCCTCCAAGCTTTCTAATTACCACAACACATATTCTGAATTCTATCAGTGGAGATCAGCAAGACTTCATTGGACTTGGACAAAAATGGAGACTCTGCAGAATAAGAAATTTTATGGAAGAAAACACCAATTGATTACCTATAGCAGCAGTCTGCTATCCATTGATCACAGACAGAAGACAGAACACACAGTGAATATGAAAAACCGACAGCTGCTAGGAAAAGCGCTCCAATCACAGACTTTGTAGGACTAACTGTAATCATATCAATCCTCAGAAAGAAGTTCGGTTCATTTGATGTTGGTCTGTTAACTGTGGGGGAAAAAAAGAAAAAGGAGGCAAACAGTGTTGAAAAGAGTTAAAAGATGCAAAAACTGCACACTGTGACAGCGAAATCTACAAAACCAAGGATGGCGCATGAAGTTAACAGTAATGGACCTGGTTATGTGTTGTGTCTGCCACTTATATTATACTAAATGGAATTGAGCTTGTATAGCGCTTTATAGCCTTCTGACTACTCAAAGCACTTTTACACCGCATGTCACACCGACCCATTCACACTGATTGCTAAGATCCTCAGAAGTAACTAGTCCCGTTCACTCTTAATTTGGGGTTAAGTGTCTTGCCCAAGGACACATCTGACATGTTGCTGGGGATTGAACCCTCGACCTTCCGATTTACAGACAACAGGGCTGTATCCGAATTACCAAGTACCTACTCAATCTGTCAGTAGGCAGTAGACAGTACCTACTATCCGTGCTGTATACTGTTTAGTACCTACTATTCAGTTGGCGCGCACAGTAGGCAGATATTTGTTCCTACTTCGTCTGATTCATTCAGTAAGGAAGTGGCGTCATTTACGTTTCCCGAACCGGCCGCATTCACCGTTTTTTTTTTTTTTTATCTTCAAGAGAAATGCGCATATCAGGTAAAACAATATCACAATGTAAATCAAATAAAAGACATATTAAATAACATACAGTAGCCTTCATAAAGGAAAGTACAAATGAAAGACAGTAATATATAAACTAAACCAATAAAGACATTATTTAAATAGAGGGGGAAAGATTTTATAATAATGTATACATTTGTTACATTTTTTTTGTTAACTAAAAGTAGCGATTTCAGTCGGGACTTTGAATTAAGATTAAATTAATCCATGCTCGTTTGTTTTGATTTGGAGGCGGACATGACAATTTTCATTTAATTTCACACAGCATTGTGGGTGGTAAAATACAATTCATTTCCTGAAAGCACGCATCCGATCCATACTGCATGAAACCTGGAAGTTAGTATCCATACTGAAATGTTCAGTCTACTGAGGTGGACCCAAAAAATGACCACGAAAGTTCAGTATACTGAAACTCCCTACTGAGAAGTACATACTGCATACTGAACTGTGACAATTCGGAAAGGGCCCAGTTCTACCAACAGAGCCACAGCTGCCATTAAAGATTAAAGAATGGCTGTTTGAAGCAGACTCTAGACAAGCAGGGGAAAAAGTGAGGTGTGGTGAAGTGAGTCTGAGAAGTATGGATAACAATAAAGCCGATTAAAGGGACTTACCATCTCACTCAGTTTCACCATCACCATACATAACACTAGTAGACATAATTCAATTTTATAAAGACTGGTGAATTGAAAGGAAAATGCCAGCATAATCCTGACTGTGAGGAGACAGGAAAATAAATCAGCAGCTGTGTTGGAAGTATATGCAGACCTGTTTACCATGTCCCACTTCACCCTCAGAGAAAAAGTTCAGTTTAATGTGAGTAAAAACAGCTAGCTTAGCTCTTGTTTTACAGGGGTACCAAGTTAACTGTTGGCGTGGTGTTTTGTGGTTGGGAGTTTTTGATGTTTATTTAGGCACAAATTGCCCCCTTTCCACAAATCTACAATATAAAACTTAACGAGTATTGTAGAGATGGTTAGAAATTATGTGTTACTATCCAAAGTGATTCTACATGATCTCTCTACCTGCTCATCTTTTTTTCAACAGATTTTGGTATACATCTCCATCCTGCATTAATGTGATGAAGAATCAACTCTTCTGTCCAAACCAATGTAGAATGTTTTTCTTTTAGAAATACTCCAACTACAGTTTATATGGAATACTGTAAATTAAATTCTCCATTACCTTTGACAATTCAGCATTATTGAACTTATTTCTTCACATTCAGGTAATGTTAAGATTTATTAGAATTTTTTAAAAACATTTTCCTGATATGGTGTATAATTGAATTTGTGCTGGCCTATGGAGCTGTGTAAACATACAAGAATGTATTTAGTTGTTTAGTTATAACATTAACATTTGGAATGTTCCACTTAGATGGAAAGAACGTTTGTATTTATCATTTCAACAATTATTTTCCTCTCTGAAGCCAGCTCAAGCAGCAGAGCTATACCCGTCATTCCTGTCCCTCTGAGGTTTAGATTGTTTAGGCTTTTCCAGATCATCATGGAGACTCTGAGAGGCAGTGCTCAAATTCTGTCAATGCCCGATCACGTATGAATCTCCAGCTGATCTAACCTTCTTTCTCACACTGGTACACATACACGCGTTATTCTGTATTTCTTAGAGAGATATTGAAGTTCCTCATTTTTCATCCGCAAACTATTTTAACACTAAATGCATAGGGGTCCCAATTTGAGATTTGTTAAAAACAGCCAGCAAGGCAGGCTAGTAAAAGTGACTGGGCCTTTAAAAGTGATAGATTTTGAGGTTTTACAGTACAATATTTGTACTGTAATTGTAGTGTTGGAGTAGTACCGTATTTTCCGCACTATAAGGCGCACTTAAAAGCCTTTAATTTTCTCCAGAAACGACAGTGCGCCTTATAATCCGGAGCGCCTTATATATGGATCAATTGGTTAATTGGTTGATCCATACTGGTTGTACACGGCGCTCAGCGACACTGACTCGGATAATGACGAGAGGGAGCCGGGCATGTTGGATGCCGTACTCGCCCAACTGTTCAATTCGGACACTGAAGAAGAATTCGAGGGATTCGTGGACGGGGAATGAACTGAAAAAGTGAGCTTTACGTGTTATACGTAACTGAACAATGTTGAGTTATGCACTAACGTTTGAATTAGCGGTATCAGACTGTGTTTCTTTTACGTGTTTACAACTGAACAAGGCTGGGAGATATTGTGAATATGCACATTAACGTTTGAACAACGTTGAGTTATTGTGAATGCACTAATGAATGAACAATTTCGAGACTTACTATATTGTGAATCCACGTTTGGGAGAAGAGGAGTGGATGCATAACGCAACCCCAGTCAAACGTTTGACTGCAGTATCTTCTATTCTATGCGCATTATAATCCGGTGCGCCCTATATATGAAAACAGTTCTAAAATAGGCCATTCATTGAAGGTGCGCCTTATAATCCGGTGCGCCTTTATAGTGCGGAAAATACGGTAGTTATAAGTGACAGCAAATAGAATTACCTAATGAAAATGTACATTATGCAGTTTTATAGTTAAATGGAATTGTTTTACTTCGTAACTTTTAAAGTCTCCCAAGCATTAGCAGATTCACCAAAATAGTCATTCTATGGTTATTGGCCATTTTGTTTTGGTACATGTGTGTCACTGAGCCATGGGCTATTGGCAGAGAGATACATTTTACATCTACCCCTGCCTGCCGGTAGATAATCAGAGGTAAGTAAGGTTTATATTTCCTGACTTGTTCGGCAGCAAATGACATCATGTTCGGTTTTGCTCAAATGTGTCCAACCAAATATGTCCTTTGTTCTCCCCCTCACTCAATATGCATATTTTTTGTATATGGACAATCTGTTCCTGATTTGAGTTTTCTTTTTTGTATAAAATGCACGACGTAGAATGTTCAAGAGTGTTGCACTGGAGTCAAAAAGGAACCCCTGAGCTCCTGATGATAGGGCACCGACTCCTGATGTTGAGCTGCAGAGGCTGCCTGTGTTTGTCTGTCCGCCACTTTGGAGCATGTGGTTTTAGTTACCAAGGGTTTTTACTGCTCAACAATGTTTCTGCCTTGGAGCGCAGCACACTGCATAAAGACTACTTTGTCCCCTGATGCCCACACGGGAAGTGTCTGCCTCATTGTGTACACACACACACACACACACACACACACACACACACACACACACACACACACACACGGCAATAATGACATCAGCAAGGCCACTGAACCCATATCAACCAAGGTAATATTTTCCCTCAAGATAGCAACATTTTAATAGTGCTTTGCCCAACTGTGTCTCCTCTTAAACAGAGAGAGTCAAAACTAATACTTTTTTAATACCACAGTTCCACTCTGTTGATTAAAAAAAGTAAGATTTTTACCTGCCTGCAAGTCCGTTTTCCACTGTGGCACCAGTGCATGCTTAAAAAGCACATGGCACTGCCAAGTCCAAGGCCTAAGGCAAATGGAACATGTGATCAAACCTTAAACCCAGGTGCCACTGTGCCACAAATGCAGAAACATATAAATATCTAACAGTGAAATAGAGACAAGTGATATTACACGTGCTTATAGAGTCATATAAAACTTTAGTATTAAACTATAAATTACTGAATTGCAACAATGGGATCTCATCAGCCAGTAATCCTCCTTAGAAAACTAAACAAAGTCAATGGGGTGACAGGTGAACACATATAATGTCCCTATAACACAACATTATACCCACAGCTCTTTTCACACAGTGGTCTTTTACAAGAAGTAAATGTGATTGTGATCTCATGGCCCTCTTTCAAGGAGTTGATTAGCACACTCAGGAGTACAAAGTGAGAGACGATGGAGCAGGTGTGGCGTGCAGTCTCTGCGGTTGTCACTTTGCACACTTTAATCATATTCTTCATTTTAAAAAATGATGGTAAATTCTGGTCATTTACATTTATAGGGCCACTGAATAGCTTGTGGTGTGTGCTTTGTTTCAACTACATTCCCCATCAGCAAACCTACCAGGGAAGACTTGACTAATACAGTTCATGGGTGGTAGATCACAGCACTTGATAATTAAAACTAAATGTATTTATATATTTTACATTGCTGTACTAAGATTTCAGTTATGACTTTGCTATTATTGTCAATCCAGAAATATCTGAATAACTACAATAACACAATACATGTTTTAAGTGCAGCCATTACAGTGATTACTGCTTCAAATACATTTCACTTACAGCTGGTTCAACTGTACTTAACTTGAAAGGTCTACTCATAGATCATATGTTCGCCCTCACAGTTCATCGCAGCATCCTTTTCACACCCAAACATTTTGCCCACACCCCGAGGCCACCAGCATGTGTAGCATTCAGTAGAGTTCTAACCTTAGACACAGTAACAGATGGGCTAGGGGCTAAGCCAAGCAAGAGAGAGTCATCCAGGAATTCTACAGAGCACACACATCTCATCTCAACACAGGAGAGGCTGAAAGGTTACATGTGTTCAACATTACTGCTTGTTGGGTTTAGTGCATGGATAGAAAGCCTCACACCTGCTGGTGTCCGAGGCTCAACTATAGAAAGCTGTTTTATTTCAAAGAAAATTAGTTTAACCACAACAAAGATTTGTGCATGTTTTTGTAAATGTAAGACAAATCAATTATCATGTACACACTGGCAGCATCACATTTCTACACATGCTGCATTTGAGTTGGTTACATTTTTAAAAAACAACAAAAATGAGCTGTTTTAATATTACAGTGATGCTTCATGATTAGATACAACAAAATGATAGAATACATGTATTGAAATGTTGTTGCATTTCAATGGAGCTAATTCATTGTGAAATTAATATCCCTCAGCATCCACACGCAGCATGTGATTCATGTTTTATTGACTATATTTTGGATTAATGTATTTTTTTAAAACGTGCAGTTTTTGCCAAGTGGACTCATAAAGGATTTTATTTTCATTAATAAAAGGAAAATGGTTTTAGGTGCAAAAAAGTTCGAATAAAAGTTGTAAAATCACATTCTTCACAGTTTGACAGGGCCAAAACAATATTCTGTCGCCATCTTGTGGCAAGAGAACAACATTTTTTTTGGACACACACTGGACCTCCTAAACTTTTAGTTAAATGATCATTTCAGGTACCAATGTGTCTTTATTGATTTCATAATTTCATTGGAAGAGACACACAGATATGTATATGGAATTATCCTGCTTAAATAAATCAGTTTATTCTCTTTTAGATCTGAAAAGGTGAATCAAAACTTTACAAGTCTTCCAAACTTAATTTCAACTGTCGACAATGAGAGGTGTCCATTTGTTGATTTAGAACATGATAACCTATAAATGTATAAAATCATAGAAAACAATTGTGTTCACCGCCAAAGATCTAGCCAACGCTCCAATCAGATCAAAAACTACTAAATTAGATCTATGAATGTGTTACTAAAAATATATATACTTTTAAACGATGGAACGACTATTAGGGATTTTATGCAAAAGACTTGTAGTATTTTTCTGTACATATCAATGTCACACATTTTCTTCTGTTTGTACTTTAAATTGTAAAATACTTTGCACATCTATTTCATAAGACCAGTGCATAGGGAAGTAATGCACTCTGTCTTACTGAACTTCATGGGAATGTTTTACGATCAAAACCTTGCCAATTCATGTATTTTAACAAGTTACACATTGTGCAGGAGTTTTTGGTACTTTAAATTGTCTCTTTGAACATAAACTCAAAAAAGTCTGGACACACCCCTGCTCGGGAGCAGCTTTCTTGTTGCTGTTTACTTTCCCGAAGTGCTTTCCAAAACTTCCATATCACAGTCTTAATTTACAAACCTTTAACAGCTGACAAAAAACAATGTCTATTGGCAACATGAGCCATCTTCACAGCAGTGTTTATAACTGCAAATATGCGTTAAAGTCCTTCTACATTAATAAAGGAAAACATTTAGAAAGGCTCATCAAAGTGTTGTTATTGATTAAGCTATGTATCAGACATACAGTATTATTTAAATGTTGACGCATTACCTGATCACTTCATAAATAACCATTTCTATTCAAAGATTAAGATATGTGTGAGAACCAAGTTGAAAGCCTGGGTTATCAAATAAAATATGATATGGAAAAAATACAATATGACTTATAAGGCTGCTCATTTAACTACCATGACTTGTTTGTCAATGTTACTAATGATAATTAACATGCAATGAGCCCTGGGAGGAAAAAAGGGGCGAGTTGTTCTGTGTAAATAATTACTGTGGAACATCATAGTTATTAATGAGAACTTTCCAGACACAAGACAGGACAGTAATTGGGGTTGTGATAAAAGAACATGTAACAAAACATATTAAATCATAATATAATAATGGTTTCTGCTCATTTTATACGAGTCTGTTCCCTGGGGAGGTTGGACTAGAAACTCATTTTGGGGTGGGGGCAGTTCTTTTTTACCCATCCCCATTCTGCAATCTAAAAGGCTGGCCCTATTTGACTTTTTATGAATGTAATCAAGGATACATGTGTAAAAGGCCACACCAAGCACTCTACTAACTCCTAAACAAGATAGATTAATCTCAATATTAAATAAGAGAGAATAAAAATGGCCATAATGGCTCATCGGCTGTAAGCTGTCACCTATGGGTGTGATTAATTTGTTCCACCTATCTGTGGGCAGGACGTAATTGCACTGTGTCACAGCAGGAGGCAATTGTAAAAGTATGCCGGTAAAATGGCGGACATTACGCTTTAACATTTAGTCCATTTGTTTCTATGGGAACATATTCTTGGTGGCTTGTTTAGTCCCTCCTTGTTTTTGAAATAATTCTGGACCCATATGTTCATACGATAGAAAAATGACTGAGGAGGCTAAATACAAGCACTACAATTTTGAGCAATAAATGTAACTCAAGATACTCAGCTTGTGTCTATTTCAATATGTTGCATTAATACTGATTTCCAATAAGACCAATGTCTAATGATTATAAAACCAGACAGGATGTGATATATGTACAGGAAGACACAAGAAAAGAACCTTATCAGAGAAGTTTGAGATAAAATGGTCACATTCCTTTTCAGTGCTTAAAGGTGCACTATGGAGTTTTGGAAGAGGAATGTGAACGTTGGAGAAGTGTACACATTCAGTGGTATATGTTCATAACTCTATACACAAACTGTCCTCAGAGGTCAGTTTGGTCCCTGTAACTGTTTGAAGATAACATGCTATGTGAGAAGTTATGGTAGGGGGCCCGCAACAGTGAAACCACAACTCTCCTGGTAGCTTTTAAGCTCTAAACAGTGTTCAGGGACTCATTTTTTTATTTGAGTAAAGTTTGTGTATTCAGTTCACAAAATACAGCATACAATTGTTTTACTTCTCCAACTTTCAAATTCCCCTATCAAATCTACATCATGCACCTTTAATATATCCAGCACTGTGTGATGCTGCACTTGTTTAAAAATGCCCTTTTGACAAAAGCCTACCAGGCCTTTATTATTGCTGAAATAATACCCACAAATATATTCTTGTTTTTGAACTCTCAACCCTGGTATAACATTTATTAACTTCACATGTAATTAGTTGATTAAAATGTGGTTGTTACCATTCAAGTGTGACTGCTGGTCATCTTAGTAAAATGAATTACCCAAATTATTATTCAGTTTAGAATTAAAATGACTGAAATGATTACAGCAGTCAAGCAACTTAAACCTTTTCAGAGTAATACCTTTTGTAAAACTTAAATAAGACTTTAAGCTGAACATCAGTGGTTTGTGATATTAGTCCAACCAAGACAGAGACACAATGTGTTTGCCGAATACAGAAAACACAGAAAACATTGTACACATGTATGATTTACTGCATCCTTTATTTGATGGTGCAAAAGTCTGCTGTGACTTTTAACTCTCCAAATTAGTTGCTGGTCATTGCCTGGGGGAAAAAAAAAGAAAGCATAAAGAGCATGTCTTAAACATGCCACCAGGTGGCGCTTAAGAAACTTTGCTTCATCAGATGACAAATACTGGGGAATTTCATAACTTACTTTTACTACTTTTATAGGGTTTTTTTGAACAGTTTGAGTGAAATTGAAATGTTCAAACTTCATCTTTGCTCTTCTTAATTGAAATGATTTCTACAATATTTGACTGATATAATGCAATGAGCACAAACAGAGGCTGACTGTTTCATGGGAGAGGAAGGCTTTAGCATTGTCTGCTTGAGCCAAATCAAAGAAAAATGTATTAACTTACATGCGTATCATAAAATCTTTTAGATTTGGTTTCAAATGCCTTTTTCACTTACTTTGTTGATCCAGGAGATGTAGCCGCTGACCCTGGTGAAGACGGAGGGCTTCTTGGGGTAGTTGCATCCCATGCTGGAGCCGAAGCTCACCACACCATGGACGTCCCAGGAGCCATCAGGGTTCTGACAGTTCAGGGGACCACCTGAGTCTCCCTGAAGGGGATCAGAGACAAGCAGTATTTGGAATAAACAGGAGATGACTAAAGCCCTGATAAAATAATCATTTAAAATCATAGTAATGTAATTGCAGCTTTGCCTGAGTGTAAGACTTCAATGGTGTTATTAAAAACAAGTTTAAAATAAGCTCACGTTGCAGCTGGCCAGATCACCATCTCCTCCGGCACAGACCATGTTGCTGGTGACCAGGCTGCCCCACCAGTCATACCTGGTGCAGGTGGATTGTCCGACCACAGGGAGGAGGGCCTGCTGCAGGATGTCAGCAATAGGACCTCCAGCTTTAGAAAAAAACAAAAAAACAGGACTTTCAGATTAATGTCTCATAGCACACCACATCAGTGTCTAATCCAAAAGTAAATCACATTTGACAGAGGTTATATTTATTGTCTTTTGAAGAAGCTTCTATATAAATATATCTGGTTCTGTATTGCAAGACATAACCTTCATATTTTCTGGTGAAAAACAAAAACAAAGACAGCATCCAAAAGTTTAGAACTATGACACAGAAAAAACTAAAACGTAATTTCCAAATTAACTGACACTGAACTCAACCACTTAATCACCATTGAATAGCCAATAATAATTAAGCTGATTATTGATCTTCTGTGTCATGTCTAACTCATAATGTAATTTGAAACTAAGAGGAGGTGATGAAAAAAAAGTGACTTTTCTTTGACCGGGAACTTGTTTGAACAATAAAGAAATGACAGGACATTAATGATGCTCTCCTTGATTCAAAGTTCAGAACTTACTCCAGAGACGGCCCCAGCCGGTGACGTAGCAGGGAGCTCCGTGAGGCAGGATGTCTCCAGAGTTCGGAAGACAGGCAGGCATGATGGTGTCAGACAAGGTGACAGGGGTAGAGAGCTTGATCAGGGCAATGTCGTTACTAGAGCAGGAAAGCATATCAAGTTTATGTTCAGGAAGTAAAATAGACTTCTAACAAAGCAGCATAATACTGTGACTATTCTACTAAAGATGAACTAAAACTAAGATAACTGAACCCACCGGATTCTGTAAGGGTCCCAGTTCTCGTGAACGATGATCTTGGAGGGGCTGATGGCGATGGAGCCGGCCTCACTGTTGTCCTTCAAGTTGTGCTTGCCAATGTAGACTCTGTAGGTGCGACTGCTGCTCAGTCACACACAAAAAACACAAAACACAGAAAAAAAAGAATAGATTCAATTACCTCAACTTCAATAATATTACTATGGGACTACTGCTCCTATTACAAATCATTCATTTAACACTTAAGTGTTTTCATAAACCCCACTGAAAATGATTAGTATTCCTCTTAAATCATTTTTTTAATAAAAGCAAAAACGATTACAATTGATTTTGACAGCTTGTGAAGGACTTTAGTTAAAAACCAGACTGGATTCTTATTTGAACTCTTCAGATTTTCTTGCAGAAGGACGGAGGGAAAAGTAGCATTTCCTTCCCAACTGCCTCTTTAACCTGTCTTCATAAGTACAATGCATACCAAAGGCTTGAAACGCTTTGTCCTCTGTTCCTCATGCCCCTCTTTGATTTGAGATGACTTTAGATAACTTTTGAGCCTTACCCAATGCAGTGAGCAGCAGTGAGGACCCACTGGTTGGAGATCAGGGTTCCTCCGCAAGTGTGGTAGAAGCTGCTGCCACTCTGGTACTGCAGAGACACCTGAGGAAGACAGAAAACATAAAAATGATATGAATGTTGTATGACTTTAGAGATGACAGATTTTAAAGGACAGGCCTTAAGGTAGCTTACCTGCCAGGGCCAGCTGTTCTCACGGACATCATCTCCACCGACCACCCTGTTCACCACAGGGGGGTAGGTAGGCAGACCACACCCGTAGGCTAAAAACATAAAACATTACGGTGATATATGTCTAAATACAAGCTGTAAACTAAGTATTCTATTTTAACTATGAAAATCATCTTAACAGGCCAATATATTTATTTGTTTTACTCTCTTATCAAATTCCTTGACCACTTCATGAAAGAAAAAGCTCAAGCTTACCACCAGCAACAAACAAAGCCAAGATCACGAACATCATTGTGACTGTCTTCAGTAGAATGTCAGAGAGACATGCTCCTCCTTATATAGTGCTTTAACACACCTGAAATGTGTGACTCGACATTTGCTTCAGAGCAGCCAGGAAAAAGTTGGTGGGAAAAAATAACTCAACCTTGGAGATAAGTAACCACAGATATCCCCAAATACACCTTATCTCTCATACTCAAACTCTTTGTGAACCTCACAGGTGTCAGACACCTGGGTATGTCAGGTTTCTAAACTTTAGGTATTATAAGAATAAATAAATACAACTTAAAACACAATTTTTGGATGTGAAAAATAACAGTATTTACTTGAAGCTTAAGTTGCTGGGCTTTTAGAACAGAAGTCAGTCTCTGTAAATGTTGCTTTATATGAACCTTACTCTTTGTGTTAACACACAGTTTTGAAATAAATACAAAGAAAAAGTTGACTAGTGACTTTTTAGAATATTCGTGAAAAATTAAGAATATGTGCAACAAACACAATTGAATCTAAAATCAGTCTTTGATGTGATCATATAGACATACCAGTATAAAACACTTGGGGAACCGGTGGTAGAGTGGTTAGTAGTTAGTACCTGCCTGGGTTCAAATCCAACTGCTTTCCTACCATGTCATTCCCCACTCTAACTTAACAAATCCTGAATTCCTTTTTGAAAAATAATAGACATTATTAACAGTAGCTGTGTAGTTATCTGGTTTGCTTTTGCTGTTATATTTAATCCATACTATGGCGGTTGTGAATCAGAGGTAGAGTTGGTCTATTTGATCCTCATCTCATGCAGCCACGTGTCACAGTAACCCATAATTCCTCTTTAGTGGCATGACCAGTGGAGTGTGAGTGCATTTGAATATGATTACTTTATATTGAGCATAGCAGCATCTGCCATCAGTGTTAACGAGTGAATGTGTCATGCTGTGTTAAAGCAGCAGTAGTAGTCTAAAATACTAGAAATGCACTATAGAAGTCCAAGTCCATTTTAACATTTTAACAGTGGCAGCACTAAAATATTTTGGTTTGGATGGTATTTTCTATATTGATAAGACTGGTATTGTGCATTAATATTATGAAAGCATTAGATGTGTTTTGTAGGATCAAATATAGCCTATTCTATAAACAACATTTTAGTCACCTAAATGTTGAAAACATAAGTTAATGACTCATGTAGAATAATTGTACTGCTTAATCATTCCAAAGTACAACAGTACAGTCATAGAATACATTCAGAGCAACTAGAAACTTTAACAACCCTACATTTCCCTGACTTGTTCAACAAACAACTTGAAAATTAGACATGGCATCACAACACTGGCCTTGGCGCATCGCACAGCCCTCATGTCCTATTTAATATTTACCCGGCTCCACCCAAGTATTAGGATTTGTCAAAGAAAAAAATTCCAAGAACTTGGTACAGCATTTGTAGGTTGCACAATCTCATCAAAGGTATAAATATGCCTGGCCTGGTTAACTGTGGCCATACGGACATGATGAAGTTTGTGGTTCTTGCCCTCTTTGTTGCTAGTGGTAAGAATCTTTGTTGTTATGTCATCTGTTATGAGCAATGTTCATATACAGTATTTCTCTAGCAACTGAATACACATTATCAGTTGTGCCCACCAGCTCACAATTTTAAAATCTGTCTCTGTCTGTCCTCTTAGCCTACGGGTGCGGCGTGCCCACCTTCCCCCCTGTGGTCACCAGGGTGGTTGGAGGAGAAGATGTCAGGCCCAGCAGCTGGCCCTGGCAGGTAAAACATCTCTCTCTCTCTCTCTCTCTCTTTATTTCTCATACACACACAACACAAGAAATCAGCTGTTTTGAAATGATTTTTAGAGTGCAGACATCATAGAATAAAGCAAATAATTGTCTTATAGCTCACACATCACAGTGCTTGACATGTGGACATGTGGCAAAAAATGTTTTGATATTAAGCAATGTGCAGTTACATATGATAATGTAAGAAATTCTCATTCAAACAGCACTTTTCAAAAAGAAAGACCCTTTAAATTATAAAATCAATGAATGAAGTTGGCATTCTCACTGTGTGTCTTTTTATAGGATAGGTTAGGGTGGATAATACTTTATTGATCCCCAGAGGGGAAATACAGGCGTTGCAGCAGCACAAAGACAAGTACAAGACGGTCATACAAAATAAAAAATGTAAACAGAATAGATAAGATAAATATAAATAAAAATAGGGGGTATATACAAGTACAATATAAATGGTGAAGTTAACTATAAAGGGCAATTAAGCCATTATCTTCAGTGAATGGCAAGATAAAGTGACAAGTGATGATTAAAGTGACTTGGTATTAATTAAAATAATATTCGGTAATACAAGGTGCGCTGTTAGACAAATTGTAGAATAAAAGGGCCAAAAACAGACCAGCTGACCTCTGTGTAGTAGTGGAGTGGTCTCTGGCCTGTAACTGCTTCAGAGGCCACTCCACTACTACATGGAGATGAGCTGGTCTGCTGTTGACACTTCAAAGTACTTTAGACAAGGAGAATGGATGCATAAATAAAAACTAAATAAATAAATAAAAGACCTCCAGGTTAAATATAAAACCAGTACCCTGAATTCAATAAAGGAAATAAAAGAGCAGTTAAGAAAAGACTCCAGCATGGGAATAAATAGATTTCAGATTCAGAGTTTTGAAGAGGCTTAAGTCAAGCTGTGAAGATGAGTTGAACTTAAAAGAAGGTGAGGGGAAGGAGTGAAAGGATTATTTATTATTCATTTTCTAGTGGTTTGAAGATAACTGGGAGGAAAAAATGCAGGGAACATTTTTTTCCTCCCAGTTATCTTCAAACCACCCCCGTCTTGCTGCCCCCAACATATAAAAACACATGCATGCCCGACACACAAACACACACACACACACACACCACACACACACACACACACACACACACACACACACACACACACACACACACACACACACACACACACACACACACACACACACGGCAATAATGACATCAGCAAGGCCACTGAACCCATATCAACCAAGGTAATATTTTCCCTCAAGACAGCAACATTTTAATAGTGCTTTGCCCAACTGTGTCTCCACACACACACACCATACAATGTTACAATGTTTCAATATGTCATATGTATGTAGTTCCTGATCGCTTCTGTTTAAATGTTATTGTCACATCCCTACATTGCATTGCTCTTGTCATGTCTCTCACTTGTCCTGTACTGTTCTGCATCACAATAATACAAAAATGAAAACAGTATAATAAATAACGCAGACGCATGAAGTCAAAAGGAGAACTGAGAGCAAGCTGATTGTGTTCATGTGTGTGCTTTAGATTTCTCTGCAGTACAACAGACAGGGAGAGTGGAGACACACGTGTGGAGGTACTCTGATCTCTGACCAGTGGGTCCTCACTGCTGCTCACTGTATCAGGTATGAAACTATTCATGAATATTTTAACTCTATAACTAGTGAAGCACAGATTAAAACATTTCCATTACACATCAGACACATGGAAATGGATCGTGCTGAGTAAAAAATATTTAATCATGATGTTATTTTAAAACATTTTCACTTGGAAGTTCCAGTATTGAAGTTACCAAAGGTCGAATGTTAGTTAAAACCCTTTTCACACATACGGAAATCTCCTGAAAAACTCTGGAGATTTGGCTACCCAGAGGTTCTTATGGCTATGTGTGAATGCAAACAGCCGCATTTTTCGGGCGGACTTTACCCGGAGTTCCTCCGGCCAGACCCCTAGTATTATTTCCGCAGAAAGTCCGAGTGAGCTGATGTCTGAACGCAGCAGGATATACTCCGGAGATATCAATTTGAGCCAATGGGAAGAGAATGACGTTTGTAAAGTGTCTGCCCGCGACCACTACGATCTCCGTGCACATAATTAAACGGCTGCATTCTGTTTTCTGTTCGTTGACAGGGATAGTACCAGGCTGTGAGGAGCATATCCGGAGAATCTCTGGAGCGGTCCTCCTGTAATTACCTAGATATTATTGTTTAATTACGTCAAGTCTTACCTCAGCAAATCCCCACCCCCCTGACAGGGATAGTACCCCGCTGTGAGGAGCATATCCGGTCATAGCGGTCCTCCTGTAAATATCTAGATATTATCCGGAGTGCATATGTGAAAACGGCTATGGTGATTTATCACAAGCACACTTCTTTACTTTCTTACTTATAGGATTTAACAGTCAATTCACATACTTGTACAGAGGTGAATTTTTTCACTAAACGTGGTTGGTAAATAGCTACTAATTGTTTGCTAAACTTTCTACAGAGTTGAGTAATATCACAACATTTCCATTCCATTGTCTGTGTGTTCATGACCCCTTGACAGACTGTGTAAGTTGAGTACATATGGTCTTTAATACCTTTACATTCCTCTCTCTGTCACCTTTCAGCACTGGCAGAGAGTACAGAGTCGCCATGGGAAAGCACAACCTGGTTGAGACAGAGGAAGCTGCTGTGTTTATGGGCACCGCTAACATCATTGTGCATGAGAAGTGGAACCCCTTGTTCATCCGGTACAGAATGACTCGGCTGTTTTCAGACCTTTCTAAAAATCCACAACATAAACAGTCCCGAAGTTACCTTAAAATTGGTCTTATGATTAATTTAACATGTGTGTTTTGTCCCCAGTAATGACATCGCCCTGATCAAGCTGGAGTCCCCTGTCACCTTCTCAGACAGCATCATGGCCGCATGTCTTCCTGCTGCTGGCGTCATCCTCCCTCACAACGAGCCCTGCTACGTCACCGGATGGGGTCGCCTTTACAGTGAGTGGACAATGTCCTCCATCTCTTTGAGGCAAAATCTAAATCGGTAAAAATAGCTCAGTTTAAATATATTCAGATGGCAGGGTCCAAATTGGTATTCAATTGTTCTGTGTTTATGAAAAACACAAAATACAAACTACATGTAATTATGGAAACTGAAGCAAAGAAATCATTCTTTCAGCAGCTTCAATTAAAAATATACAGTACTGCTGTTTGATAGATAAGTAAATGGTATTATCTTAGTATGTGAACTACAAAGGCTAAAGTAAAGAGAGAGAGAGCCATTGCAGACTCGTTGTCATGTAGTATTCAGTGTAGTCATGCCGGTGTCATTTCATGTCATATTACATTGAGAGTTTAATTATCTCTTCTGACAAGCGCTCCGTTCATAAGCAAAGTTACTACAATTTTTCAATTTTAAAAAAAGATCTAAATTTGAGCAAAGTCATTTTAAGAACTTTTAGAATTTTCTAGTTTTGTTAATAGAGGAGATTTAATAAATTGACAATATTTATTTAAACTGTACACTGGTCTATCAGTCTAAAATAAGAAACTGTTGCACTTGTGAATGTTGTCTATGTTGAACAGGAGAGACAGTGTTTGTTTGCCTCATTCTTTCAACCAGATGGCTTCCCTCAAGGCTTTAGTCAGATACAGCTGTCATGATGAGGTTATGATTCTAACCAGCATTTCACCTGAGCTGAACTGGAACTTGTATGCATCTTCCTCCTCCTACACAGCTGGAGGACCCATCGCTGACATCCTGCAGCAGGCTCTCCTGCCCGTGGTGGATTTTGCTACCTGCAGCAAGTCTGACTGGTGGGGTTTCCAGGTGAAGGATACCATGGTTTGTGCAGGTGGAGATGGAGTTGTGTCTGGCTGCAATGTAAGTTTAAAATAAATAATACAATAACACATTATTCCCTAATGATCTCAGACATCAAACACAAAAATAGCAGGAAATACTAAAGTCTACTACTAATACTTTTGACTTTAAAACTACACTAAAAAAACAGCTATAGGCAACCACAACATACAGTATATCCCCAAAACACCACATCTACAATACCATAATAACATATCAATTCACCACAACATTATCAAAACGAGTTCATTCCTAATGACCATAATCTTTACACCAACAAACCTTTCAGTAATAAAAAGGAGATACCACTCTGGATATTGTATGCTATCTTGTTCAAAGTTCAGAATAAAAAATCCTGTCGTAATTTCAGATAAACATTCAGTGTCTTTAAGTTGTCATGAGCAATGTGAATACAAAACACCCACACTCAGGAAGAGGAAGTTACAGTTACCAGTGGCTTCCGTACTGATCATGTGTTGTCTCTAACATGATGATTTAGGGTGACTCAGGCGGCCCTCTGAACTGTCAGAACAGCAATGGTTCCTGGGAGGTTCACGGTATTGTCAGCTTTGGCTCTGGACTCAAATGCAATTTATTCAAGAAGCCCACCGTCTTCACTCAAGTCAGCTCCTACGCAGACTGGATCAGCTCTGTAAGCTCACCAAACACACACACTCAATCACCAGTTGAAGAGTATAACTCTTTTTGATGTGTGCTTTTTCTTGCCACTGTAACTTTGCTAAATGTTGTTAAGTTCTGTGCTCATCATGACATTGGGTCTTTGTAACATAACAATGAGTAAGGTTCTTTTACCTGTTTTTTGTAACATAACAATGAGTAAGGTTCTTTTACCTGCTTTTTGTAAAGTGTCTCCAGATAACATTTGTTATGAGTTGCTGCTATACAAATAAAGATTGATTGATTGATTTTAGGTTTTAAATGTGTATAACATAAAAAACTATGTAACCTGTTTTATTGCTGAAAATATGGTGCTACACTACATCTCACATCTCTTTCTATCATCTCTCCCACAGAAAATGGCGACCTATTGAAAGGACAGGCTTTTGGAGATCAAGGGAAAAGGGCACATGTAAAATAAATACTATTTTGAAGTACAAAACAAAAAATCACTCTTGTATTATTTTATGCATGGAATGCTTTAAAAATATTTTTTTAATTAACAGGTTTGTAGTATTCCAAAAATTTGAAAACACAAACAAATAAAGCAGTTTTGAATCTTAAGCCAAGAAATCACCTTGGGTTTTTCCTTTATTTCAGAAATGATGTCATACATCATGCTTTATCAATGGCACTTATAATGCCCTATAAAGTATAAACTTGCCAATAGGAGTCGTGATGGGAAAATCCTGTCAGCCATCACATGCTGTGTCCCAACACTTGTTTGTCTTTCCGCAAGCGTCAACCAGGTTTCTCAGAACTTTTGTACACTGGTTAGAAGTCGCTAACTTACAGTATAAATACAAGTCTGCCCTTAACACAAGATTTAGGCACACACAACATACATCATGAGGAGCTTGATGGTTCTCACTTTTGTGGTAGCAACCGGTAAGACAGTTTAAATATTCTCACTAAAATGTTTGAATTGTGTGAGCTGTTTTTTAATCGTTTGATTCAAAAGAATTGTCTCATAATTGTATTGCAAAAAATAGGCTACCTAGAATCTATAGATTTTATAAACAGTCTGTTATACATTTACTTAATTTAGATATATTTACTTTTTGCCAGAATAAATAATAAACTACTTTTTATTTCTAGCCTGGTAGAAAAATTGCAATACAAATAACTAACCTTATCTCAGCATATGGGTGTGGCCTCCCCACTTTCCCTCCTGTGCTGAGCAGGGTGGTCGCAGGAGAGGATGTCAGACCCCACAGCTGGCCATGGCAGGTAAGATCTGGAGCATCTGTAGAACCATTTTTACATTGGCCATGTGAACTTCCTACCTACATGTTAATATCATTTAACTTTTGATAATGCTTCCTATAGGGAAGATGTGGACGGGCACATGATTAAATGGATTTGCAGTGTTGTAAATGATATTTGAAAAGTGTAGTAATGCACACTGTCCGATCAGATCTCACTCCAGTCAGACAGCAGTGGATACTGGAGACACGTCTGTGGAGGAAGCCTTCTTTCTCCTGACTGGGTTCTCACTGCTGCACACTGCATCAAGTATGTTTCAGTCAACACTAGGGGGAAGCCTAGCCATGTTATTTAAAGTACTTTGAAGCATGTTCTGTTTAAAAAGATATTACTTAAAAAGTAAATATAGTGATAAAGAACTTTTACTAATTTAAATTATTAATTTATACTTTAAATTGACTCAATATGCCCAGTTCAAGGAAGCATTAATGCCAAAAAAAAAAGTCTGTGCCAGGAAATACTTTCCCTTTAGCTTTTTATGTGACTGCATGAGCTGTTGGTTGGCTGGATGAACTACCACAAAGTTCCAGATTTTAAAAGCTACCCCAATAGTAACAAGCCTCTTTGTGAAGAAATTTCTAAGTCAGAAAAAAACTTAGAAAGACACAAAATAGTCTTAAGAGCTGTCAGAACTAACTCGCAAATGCAAACCAATTTCATCTTAATCACAGTTTAGATCACACAGGCAGAGAAGTTAATACGACTTTCTGAATTCCCCATGGAAACACCTTGTCATCTGCCATCCCACAGTGACCGCTACAACTACAGAGTGGAGCTTGGTAAACACAGCCTGACGAAGAGTGAGGAGGGCTCGGTGGCTCTGACGGCAGCTAAAATCATTACTCATGAGGATTACAACATCCTGCTCAGCCGGTAACAGCAGCAACACACACAGCTCACTATCACCTCATGAGTCCATGTGAAGCTAGTATAATCAGCTCTCCTGAATTCGTAAGCAGCAGAGTATCAGTGATCAGTTAATTGGTATTTCTCAAAATAAGATTAGATATATATTTCATTGTTCCCAAAGGGAAATTTGCCTCTGACTCCGTCCTGCAGTTCATAGACAATTACGAATACATAAATGTGGAAATCATGCATAGAGATCATACAAAACATGTACCAATTCCACATATAGGCCTACATAAAAAACGCCTTCCTGCAGTGGTGACATATTGACATATTGCACAGCACATTCTACATTACCTGTTATTCAGAATATTAATGGATATCTGCAGGGAAGTTGATTCAGCAAAGATTATCAATACAACAGAAAACATGTTTTTTTTTCTAACTGTGGGTGATTTGTTTTGCCTTTTGCAGTAACGACATTGCATTGATCAAGCTGTCTTCCTCTGTCACCTTCTCTGACACAATCATGCCCGCCTGCATCCCAGACGAGGGCGTGGTCTTGCCCCATGGTGCTCCCTGCTACGTGACCGGCTGGGGTCGCCTCTCCAGTAAGTGAGCACACATCAGTTAGATGAATCACTTTCAATAAACTCGGTTTACCCAGATGAGCTTATAAGTGAAAAAAAAGCCATCATTTCTTCTAGAGTTGTTCACTAGACTGAACAACTGAAGATATTCACACAGAGGCCATTTTTCACTAACATCAGTCTGAAGGTGGAAAGCTCAAATGCTGTTTAGGTGTTCTGCTGTTGTGATTCAGGTTGTGATATGAATAGATTTAGCACACCTGTCGCCTCCGTTATTATTTCCTGGCTCATGTTATGTAAGCTGGGAAATGTTTCAAAGGTTATATTCCTTTTTGGTAGAGTTACAGGATCCAATAGAAAAGGCACACAATGCTAGCAGAGTTAGCTTGCTAACTGTGATATTTACCTGGAATTGGTTGAATTCAATTAATATAGTTAGTTGTCGTGACTTAGCCGTTTACCATTTAGCTGTCAGGTAACTCATAAGATATCATAACAAAATATTTGTCAAATCATTAGGACAGCTAAGTCACAACAGCTAACGTACCTCCTACTATCAAATGATAATGTTAGCTTGGATGTGGTTGAATACAGAGAGGTGCTATTAAAGGCTAACTAATGGGTTTTGATTTTACTTGACATATTGCCAATTTCATATTCAGTTGCTCATTAATTTTGTAGGGTGTTAGATTAAAATTTAGATTTAACAGTTCAATCAATAAGCATCTAATTGCTCAATGCCTCCCATTACTGTAGTGCTGGTATGTTAATGCCCCTTTTCTACTTTCTATCCTGGACACCATCTGTGTGCAATCCCCATGCTCTGCCTGCAGCACTCCACCTGTCCCCTGCATGAAGTCTTATGTCTTACCTCAAATTAACCATGTTTCCTCCCCACAGCCGATGGTCCTCCTGCTGACACCCTGCAGCAGGCTCTTCTGCCAGTGGTTGGCCACGATACCTGCTCACAGCAGGACTGGTGGAGCGTCCTGGCAACAGACAAGATGGTGTGTGCTGGAGGTGACGGCATCACCGCTGGCTGTAATGTGAGTTCACACAAAAAAGGGTTACATAAGATGCAACAGTAGTTCAATTAGCATTTATTGATATTTGCAGTGTAATCTGTTAAATTGACATTTACAGAAAGTTGATTCTTGGTAGCTATACTGTACCTCCTTAGTATCTGTAAATAAACTGCTTACCAATAGTGTGTGTGCTGATCCACAGGGAGACTCTGGCGGTCCCCTGAACTGTCAGAACCCTGATGGCTCATGGGATGTCCATGGTGTGGTGAGCTTCGGTTCTGGTCAAGGCTGCAATGTCTTTCAGAAGCCCACTGTCTTTACAAAAGTTGGCTCCTACATCAACTGGATGAACACAGTGAGGGACACTTTTTTTTCACATAGCCAGGAAACCTGAAGTGAACACAAGGCACAGCTTTCAAAAACAGGAAGTCTATAACAGTTTTTTGTTGTTGTTTTTTCCTCTGCAGGTTATCATCACCAACTAAAGAAGACATTGAGGTGCTTTTGTCAGAAAATGTAAAAACTTTGATCAATAATGTGCTGTATTTCTTCTGAAGGGTCAGAACAAAGAGTTTAGTGGTGCAAACAAGTGCAATGTAATTGTATGTAAATGTGGAGCTATAATATTCTCCATGTACTCAACACTTCAAATAAGAACCTTTTCTTTTTCCATACCATGCAGGGCCTTAACGAAACGATTGCATAATCTAATTTTGGGTTTCAGATACAGTAGATGCATATGAACTACATATTGTTAAACAGTAACAAAGCTAGAGGAAAGGAATTTGAACATATGGGCAAAATTGAATCATTATTCAGTAAATAAACTACTTCAACATGCCACAATTAACAAATTGTTCCTTTTATTTCGTATTAAATATTCATGAAATACATTTGTTTTCAAACTTCCAGAGAAAGTCATTTGCAGACAAGAGTTTCCATAGAAAAGCAGATTTTCACAGTACAAATATGAAAAAATAAGAACTAAGTAATAAAGAGGAAATAAAAAATGACACAATGATGCACACAGTATGTGCTAAAGATACTCATCAAAGTAAACCAGAAAGTCACAATGTTTGTCAGAGTATATTTTGACTTAATAGAAATAGAATAAATCATGTTTTAAACCGGTCGCCTCCAAATGAGATACAGTGACTTTGTCTTGCCTCCGTACAGAACCTAAATAATAAACAACATAATAACACATTGTGTGGCAGGTTTCAGCTTCAAAACAAATCAGAAAATGTAGACACACCGGTTGTATATTCCAATGACAAACCTGGAGTGACCCAATATTAACTACACTGACACCAATAACTATACCCAGTTCTTCACTTTAAAGAAACAAAGTAAAGATCTGGGTCATGAAGTCACCAATGAAAAGTGCCTTTAACCCAGTAAACAAAACAATGAAAATCTCTGTTGTGGAAAAACATTTGAAAGCTTATTGAATGAAATATGAGATTTAATTTCGTTCCAGCTGCTCAAATTGAAACGAGACCAACCTGAAAAAGAAAGAAGGGTTTGTTGACAGGTATTGATAAAGTAGTGCACTCGAACATGTTCCCTGAACAGAGCCTTGAGCCGTCTTACTTTCTTCACATCTCATTCTCTGCATATTTCTAAGTGAAACTTCGGCCTGCCAGTCAGGCTGTGGTTGGACGAGTAAGCGAGTCATGAGCTAGCGAGTGAGCAATGGCTGCTGTCATTATGGCACAGCTGCACAGTCAAAGAGTCTGTCTGTTGGAATTCTTGACTAAGAACCAAAAAAGGCCCAGAGAGAAACTGAGAATACACTTGCTGCCTTCACAGCTCAGCAGTTTTCACATGACTGCAGACCACAGACTTCAACTATTCAGAAGAGTCCTTGCTCATGCTCACATACTTCCTTCTTTACCCACTGTCTGCATGATGTCACATTGCATTGCAAGAGCAACATTAGAGCTCAGGTTCAGTTGTATATTTTCTTTTGAAGTGTTTCAGGACGAGCAATAGCGTTGTTCTGAACAGAACAGAAAAGCACTGCAGGGCTTACTTGCAGTTGCACGCAGTAAGCCTTACAGATCCTTAAAGAGGCCATAAAATGAGACCTTTAGCCAATCTAAAATGGTCTCTTCCTGGAATTTAAGGTGCTACACTAAGAGGAGTGAATATGACACTCCAGCCATTAAGTCTTTCCAAGAATTTGTAATAACTACTTCCTGGAATTTGCCAAAAACATGTCTCTAATGACAGGCTTACTCATGTAGCTACAGCCATGAAGTTAATAGTATAACTGAATATCAGGACACTACTATTTAGTAAAGATTTAAGAGTGCTATTGTTTTTGCATATTGTATGGCCCAAATGACATTCAATTCAGAAATGTACCCGTTTATCAAAATAGAATATTCTTTAAATGGTATTTCAGTATAAACCACGCTATAACACATGTTTTGAAAACTCTTAAACCACGTTTTGGATTTTTTTCTCATGTCAGACGGATAAAGAAAAGTCTATTTAAAGCTGACACAGATGTACAGAGGCACCTTAGCTCCATACCAACGAATGTAGGCTCTCTTGGACACAATGAGAAAGCTTGCAGTAAAGTAAAACCTCTGTGGAGAAATGACGCCTAAACAGAAGCCACTTGTAAAAAAACGAGTGCCTTACACATATCTATGTATGTGTGCTGACAAATCCTTTCCATGGATATTCCGTTATCTCTTCCACGTTCAACACACGGGTACACTCGAGGTTGGTCACATACAGATGAGAAGTACTTTCATATTGAGAAAAACTGTATTTGGTGTGTGCTTTTAACCCAATGATCCACAGAGTGACAGAATCTGTCAACGTAAGGAATGATCCAGGAATTACAATATGTCACTCATGACTTGTCTCTTTCTGCTTGCAGATGTTCAGTGAGATCCAACATTTAAAAAAATAAAGGTTTCTCTGTTCAGTGCTTTGGAGTGATGTGGCATTACTGATGATGACTTTTGAATAGATACCAACATGTCACTGAGAACGTTCTGGAAGACAAACTATCTTCAAGTCTTGACTTTATAAGGCAGATCCACAAAGATTGTTTTAAATATGATCAAGCTTGATGTTAAATCGGCGGCACTTTGTCCTCATACTGGGGTGGTGGGGTAAGTGGTTCTATACTATATCCAGCTGCTGGCTGAGAGTTGTCAATGTTTTTCATGTGGAGCTTCTCAGATTTAATCCTGCGGATCTTGATAGGGAGGAGCTTGCGGTTGTTTTTTCCCGGCCTGCGGTTTGATGTGGAAGCAGCAGAAGGAGCAGGCTGTGATCCTGGAGATGTGACTTCTGGCACCTCACTCTCATACTGCACACCATCAACTTGGACAAGGTCATCATAAGAAGGCAGCTGGGAGGTGCTTGGGCGTAGGTTACTTTGACGGACAGGGTACTGGCCACTGCCTACTGCTTCTTCATAGGAAGGTACGGCGTAATGCTGGGCTTGTTCCTCGGCACTGCAGACATTAGAAAAAATCGATATGAATGACACATGAATATGTCAGTGCAAGGTCCTTCACTTGAGCTTATAATTGAAGGAAAATATCCATTACGTATGTTGTAATTATCATGTTTCATGTTAAGTGTAGATTTATAGTGTGTTTTAAGAACTGACTTTCTGTTAGAGATGCACTAATTCACCTGATTCCACTGTGGCCTTGACTGGCAATAATGTCAGTAAAATCACAATGTCAGCCAACACAGGTGTTATTAAATGGATAATGTGAATGTGTCAGCTTCCTAATACTAAATACTGCTGTTTGCAGCCACATTTTCCAGTATCAGATATCAGATCTTCAAAGAGGCATTTTTGAAATCAATGTATGTTTTCATTGTTGAATCAATGAAATGATAGTTGATACATGATGCTACACACATATAGGGTTTGACAGACACACACATGCACAAACTGGATCCTGTCATTCATTAATGGAGAGATGTCAGAGTGACAGGCTGCACATTACAACATCGCCCGAGCACCATACCAATTTCCAGACTTGGTCCACACTGGGACTTGAACTGGTAACTCTCCGTTCCCCAATTTAAGTCTCTACAGCCTGAGCTACTGCTCTAAGATGTAACAACAAGAGAAAAAGGTGTAATCATCCAAATTGTATTTGACTAGAAGCTAAAATGGCACTCACGTTTCTCTGTCCTCCTGTCGCCCAGCTGCCTGTCTCCCGTGATTCCGAGCCTGCGCGAGCCTCAGTTGCTCCCGCTGTTTGTTTCTCAACCCCAGACACAGGGACAGCAGTAGCATGAACACTCCTGACCCCACTAGGACAAACGCGATGGAAGATGCTTTATTTTTCCTGCTACTAGTATCTCCATGTCCTCCGGAATTGCTGCTGTTGTTTCCGGCTGCATCGGCAGGTACCACACTCCACACAATCATCACAATGCCCAAGGCAACGAGCCCAACCCCGAGAGCACACAGTGCATACTGGGAACCTGAGTTTCCACTGTTTTCATTGTTACTGTTGTTATTGTTACTGCTGCCAGTGCCACCTCCAGCGAGGTGTCCATCCACAGTGGAACGCATTTTGTCAATCTCTAATTTTTAGGCAGACCAGCGATGTCAAAAGCTGTAAAGAGAAAGGTACGGTAAGTAAATCTGAGCAAGTTAAAATGTACTTGAAGTTGTTCCAAGCATTATCTAACAAATTCACAGTTATGGATACAAGATATCCTCCCTGCTTTGATGGGTCGATACCTTTAACCATCTGTGGAGGAGGTGCACTTCCACTTACAGGTTTGTTCTTTACAAGTGTCCAAGCCCATTTTTCAAGGAAAATGGTGGAATATAAAAATGAATTATCTTTGTAGAGCCTTCTAAGCATGTGTGTGCTATATCGTAATAAGAGCAATTTTGCGTCTAAGCTGCTTGTTACCCAATGTCAACATTACAAGGGTAGGTAAGGACAGTAATGGCCAACACTAACACTAACAATGGTCTCAAAAATGACTGCAATATCCTGCAATATATTATGTATTACATTCATCTCATCATCACCTGCTTTGATGTTAATCTACATAAATGAAAGAAAACTGTTTTAGCCTAACTTTAGTGATACATAGTGAAAATAGGCCTTCTATAATGTCTACTTCATACTAAGAACATGCCATTGATCATAAGACCACCCTGCATTAAGTTAAAACTGTTTGTCTCTGATCACTGGTCTTACATCAGAGAGTAGAGGATGATTTACTTAGAATAATAAATTGGCTCAGACTTAAATCCGTGAAATTAAATATTACCTTTGTGACCATTCAATGGCATCATGATGCAGTAGATCTACACATGTACGAACAAACTGTCAGTGACTAGTCTGCTACATGTCTAGACATGCTGGCAGTGAGGGGGACAGCACGAAGTAAGTCAACACACTTCAATGGAGCTGCAGCCTCTCCAAAAAGAATGTATGGAATGAGGCTGAATTAAGCTCATCGCGACAGCTGGGCACTGTGACTGATTAACTGGTCTGCTAGCTTTAGCCAATACACAGTCACAAGCCTTGTACAGTTGTGAAATCCAGAGGTGAGTATGGACGTAAAGACATCACGTATAGCCTACAGGAAGGGGTTTTTACGGCTCAGCTCAGTTTATGTTTCACCACACTACAGGTCCGACTGTAAAATAAGTAAAACATTGACATTCCTCCTCATAAAACTTCCACTCAACAAAGCTCTGTACAAAATACCATGAGTTAGTGAGTAGGCTATGGTGTTAATTTAGTGGAATTTCACCAAAGTCGGACTCAGATCAGCCAGCTGTTGCAAACGACTTTAAAGCAACTTTTCACTCTTGCATTATTTGTTTTAAATGTAGGCAAACGCTTCACATACTGTATACACGACGTTTTGGGTGTGTAACAACCTGTAACAATCGCCCTGTTTGAGCATTCAAGTCACAAAGTAAACGTAGCCTTTTTGGCCGTTGTTTGGCGAACACCAGTAGCAGCGTCCGTTAACACTGGGCGGGTTGCTTACGTTGACTCAGGATACGTAATGCAGGGCAACAAAACTTTCCAGGCCTGAAGTCATTAAAAACTTGCACAGTAAATAACTGTCGGTTTTAAACTCACCTTAGCATCATTTGTCATTAAGCATCGCGTCGCTTGTTCTCCTCAAACTTGGTGAGTGTGGAGTTTATTCTCAAACTTCGCCAGCTCTGACAGTAGTTCCTGGGGCATGATAGTTGACAAATAGCGTTTAAATTTCAGACAACAGGAACTTTCATCTGAGACGGATGGGCCCAGGCCGAAGAAGAACGAGAGAAAGAGCAGGAGGGAGGGGGCTCAGTGGAACACTTCCAGTTTCATTAACCCCTTAACTCTCGGCCTGGCTGAGCGATACAAATAGCCGAAAGTAGACTTAGTGAGAAGGTTTTTTTTATTTTATCTATTGACCGAATCATACATTATCAGCCTGATTACTGATTACCTGATTAATAAGCAAGCATAGCTGAGGACAGCTGCAATACGGTTGTAGTATGCAATGCAACATTTGAAGGTTAAGGTTGTCAGAAAAAGCTTTCCACTTTTTCACAGCAGACTTCTGGATGTGTAAATAGCCCCTAATTTTGTGTTACTAAGAGCATTAAAGACAGCTATGTTGTACTGAAGGCCTACTTCTATAAATCATGACAGTGTAGGCTTCTGCATCCAACAAGCAGAATGTCTTAAAGTGAATTTATTGTGTGAGCCTGAATGCTATGAAACCCTTCAGAGCCCTGTTAAATGTGTTGTATGCAGTTTGTAGATAATCATGAGTTTTGTGTTTTGTGTTACCCTTAGCCTGTCATTTCCTGGCACACTAATTTGGTTTGTAATTACAAGAGGGCAAGATGCAATTTGATTTATATTGATGGGCTAATATATTCATCTTTGCTGTGGATTCATTTGGGATATTTTTAACATAGGTAGTAGGCTTTATGTAATTAACTAGATATATGGCCCACATTTCTTTAACGCGCTAACCTATTTAAGGATCTGTTCTGTACAAATGTGTTAAATAACTTGCTTGACCGTAATACAATCAATATGAAAATTTTTTACAACTGCTCTAAATTTAAACAGTAACTTTTCCTCTCCTCCCTTAGAGACAGATTTGCATTCATCTCTCTGTATTGTTCCATTGAGTTAGGAAACACCGTTGTTGGGGCTCTGGGGAGGTTTTCTTCCTCCTACATTTTTGTCTGGTTCCTCTGTTTCATGCTCATGAAAGAAATATTTTTACTCTGTTATTTTTTAAACCACTGACTGTTCCCAACAACAAAGACTGAATGCCAACGACCCATTGATGCTTCATTATGTCACGTTGCAGGACACAATCACAGGTCAATGGTTTTGATCTGGCTAATCTGATTAGGTTTTCACTTCTTATTTAAATGTGCCAACCATGAATAGGAATACAAAGCTTTACTGTCATTGGGCTATTGATGTGCGACACAACAATACAACAAAATGACAGTCTCTCAGTTTATCTATGAATATCAATAAGTGAAAGCTTAAAAACTGTTTAAACATTCAAACAGTATCAGAATAGACCAATAAAGCCACAATATGCAAGGATGTGTAAACGATCTTTAGACAGCAGCTGTACTATATACCAACTCTCTCTCACCATTTTCAGGCCCATGCATGCCCATAACTAACTGCTTCCCTGTTAAAATGTCCTTTTCTGTATCAGTTCTGTATCTCTTCTGACCAGTGTGACCGCGCGGTCAAGCTCAAACAAGAACTGAACTGTTTTGCATTAATGACAAAACCAGTCTTAGGGCGCGGTCTCCCTGGCCATCCGTACCGTGCCCAAGCACACTTCAACGCTAAAGTCCAGTTAGTTTGACCAGTGTCACCGCTCCGTATCGTGCTCAGGCACAGTACACTTCCTTGGCTTTGGCACACTTCAGAGAGGTGTGCTTCAGCACGGTACACTTCATGCACGAGCACAAGCACACGGGTACACAACGCTGACAGCTTTCATTATGGAGAAATACAGAGTTTCATGTCTGTATCTGAATAACATGACTCAATATAAGACACAAAGTCTCTGCGTTGTTCTCTGATGTGGTAAGAGGTAATCGTGCTTAGGCACGGTTAGTCCTGGCCAGTATGACGTGGGAATGGCGCAGCGGTGGGGGGGGGGGGGGGGGGGTTAATCGTGCTTGAGTACAGCACGGTACAGACACAATAGACTATTAGCCTTGTCCACTCTCTGTATTGTTCCACTGAGTTAGGAAACACTGTTGTTGGGGCTCTGGGGAGGTTTTCTTCCTCCTACATTTTTGTCTGGTTCCTCTGTTTCACAATACACACATCTCAAACACACACAAACACAAAGGAAAGATATAAACTATGCGAACAAGCCTTGATTACATCTGGCCTGAACCCCTATCACTGTCAGCCTTTAATCACAATAAGGGATGAGTTTGTTTTAATACAATTTGCAAACTCATTCACACCTATTAAAATGTAATTATTGGTCTGCCAGATAAGCACACGTTAAATGTAACTTTTCATTTGAAGTAGCTCTTTTCTCTCTGACACGCCTTCAAACACAATACCACTGTATCCCAGAGTGCAAAGTGCCATCATATGATGGATTGCCCGTGTTGTTTTCCAACCACAGGCGGATTACCAGACAGTTTTCAGGAGGGACACTGTTGTTATCCAGTCATCAGAGGCTAGCTGTCTCATCTGCTTTGTCATCCTTAGTTTGATCGAGACACTGTGAGTCAAAGAAAGAAGATGTGAAGTTTAACTTGTTACACCATGTTGTATTGCATATAGGATGCTTGAGCTAACATGATGTAAAGAGAGGAAGAAAACGGGAAACTGGAGGAAATCACCAAAACACTGACTCACCAAAATACTGTTGTGAAATCAAATGTTTCTACAAGCACACTAAGGCAATGACACTGTCCACATCGCTATCAGATAAGAGGCAGTAAACCATTCATAATCTCTCATGCAAATGAACGTGGGTTTGTTTCTGTCACAGTCTGGGATCTATTAACCATTCCTTTTTGTCATCATTTGTTCATACACCTTAACTGTCTCCATCATTTCATATCTGTCTCAGTTAAAAATCTGATTATTATAATTTAACCCAAATCTGACCAATCAATTTCCTTCTCACTTCATACAAACATCATTGATTTAATAATCTTTAAATGGGAAACATTTTGCTAACAAGTCTGTACAGTAATTACAGGCTTAATGGTCATGGGTTCTGTGTCTGCTAGGCTTTTTTAATGTATTGGTGTAAACTTATGTCCTAAAAAGAAAAAACCCACTAAAACAAAATAGCCTATTAATGTAGCTTTCAGCATCTGCTAGATGTATTTCCTTTCTAAATTGTTCAAAGAAGCACCTTAGTTTTTTTTAAGTGTCTCATGCCGTGTTTTAAATGTCAGTATAATATTCATTCTTCGCTCTACATCATACCACCTCCATCATAACAAATGCAGACCTTCCTGCTGGTTGAAGCTGGTTCTTCAACTTGTTGTTTTTGTGTTACTGCCTAAAGTTAATTTACTGGATCATTTTAATTTAAAAGACAGCATCTGTACTGTTGCATTGAAAGGTAATGTGAAGTTGTATCAGTAAAACCAAAACAGAACTATAAAGCTGTGCAGATCTGAAGAGTCAGCTGATATTTTAAACTAACTTTGCAAGTTTGTAATTGTGAGGACTACCTTTCACAGTACATTTTGAAGTGACTCGCATTGTTACTGTAAGTACTGAACTTACTGAACTTTTCCAGACATGGTAACAGAAACTAGATTACATCACCCACTGCAGTGTCTGTATTGTTACCAGTGTCTTCAGTAGAATTGGGCCTGTCGTAAGATATATCCTGTTAGTGCCCCCTATAGTCATCTTAATATCAATATCAATGTCAATATTCAGATTCTTTTAAAATATGTTTTTATTGAATTCTCTGCTGAAGATTAGGGTCACATGACTCCTAAATATGAGATGTCATCTTTATTTTATTAAAATGTAATAGTTCAATGTCACAAATATACATTCACACACCATCCATGGACACACAGCACTGTGGTCATCTTTTCTTGGCATTATTCAAATATTTTTCAATGTTTACTGCACAGTATAAATCAGAATAGGGTGCTACATTTCTTTAGACACGACTGTGTAAGTGTGCAAGATGAAAAATGACTAACAAACATATATCCTAGAATTTAAAATTCAACTCAAGTCCTTTTTTTGTCCACTGTCCTCAGCTACGTTGACAAGGCATCACAAACAGCAGAATTGAATGAAACTAACAATTTACACTGATATAAAACTTTTTTCACTGAGTCAACAAGTCTCAGTATTACAGTTTTAAAACTGTAATAGTCATAGAAACAGACTGTCAGTCAGTAGTGACTACTTGTCAAAAACAAATTGCCAAACAACATCCTTGTTCACAAGAACACATTTACTTAAAGAAAATACAAAAATAATCATCTAGCTTGAATCCTGCATCTTCTGATTCTGGCATTGGGGAAGAAAACAGCAAAATACATTTGCCCAAAAAGTGTCTCGTAATTTTTCTTTTCTGAAACCAGGAAACTTGTAAAATAGATTCCTGTCCCTTTAAAAAGTGCAATCTGTCCTGTGAAGGCTCATTATTACAAAAGATAACCGTAACATGGAAGACAAATGTCCATGATGTAGATTTGTCTATAATGACGCTGATGCTGATGACTTGTGTTTGTCCGCCCCTCCTGTAAGGTCATCACACGTTGGTGACCTCGATGCTGGTGAAACCTCGGATAGGGCTTCCCTCGGCTCTGGGGGGAGTTTGGTCTCCAACATCTCGAGGCAGAGAGCCATAGCTGCTATGGCAACTCAGGTCCCTCCCATTGCGTGCTTTGGGGCTAAATCCTGTTGGAGGCTGGAAACAAAGAAAAACAGACTGAAAGAAGCTGCTCCCTTTACTCTGGAAAAAATACACATTTTTTAAAGTAATAATGTGTTTTTTGTCTTCTATGTCTTAATCAGCCTGCTACAAGAGATTGTGTCTTGTCTGATCCATATTCACAATGTAATAATGTTCAATACATGTTGTGTTGAAGCTAAGCGAGTCACCATTTTAATGTCTTGTAATGTAACTGATCTAAACTTTCTTGCTTGAGTATTCACAGAGTGAATATTCTCATATCAGTACATAGTCTGAAAGAAAGATAAAAAGCCCATGACAGTCTCCAGTTACTTTTTTCCTTACCTTCACAGCCCTCCTTCTGAGCGAGCCGTCATCATCAGGGTTTCGTCCAGTAGAGCTGAGCGGTCTAACCAGGGAGTTTTGGCGAAGGAGGGTTGGTGGCGTTCCAAGACCTAGACCCTCGTAGTCCTGCTTGGCATCTGTCCTGAAGTGAAGATTGCAAGTTGTAAGCAAGATTGCAGAGTGATGGGGACAGCCACACGTAGCAATTTTAAAAGACACTGGGTTTAGGGAAAATAGAACCACTTGTTATGCAGAAATGCAAAAGGTAGAAGAAATGTCACACGCAAGCAAAATGATCTCTCTCTCTCTCTCTCTCTCTCTCTGTGTGCATATACAGTACATCATATTACTGCATGTATCTATCTGTAAATCTCAGTCACTAACCACCTACTTTCCTGGGAGCTCGTGAGCTCTCTTAGGCTCCTCGAGATCGTTGGTTGACGGCCTGAAAGAACAACCCCCCCTCCTCCCCACCGGATTGTTGATGGACCCCCCCCCTTATAGTAATAAGTAAGGTCCTTTTACTTGCTTTTTGTAACATAACAATGAGTAAGGACTTTTTACCTGCTCTTTTGTAATGTTAAAAGACAAAGAGTAAGGTATTTTACCTGCTTTTTGTAAAGTGTTTCTAGATAACACTTGTTATGAGTTGACGCTATACAAATAAAAATTGATTGATTGATTGGCTTTTATAATGACCTGCAGAGGGCTTTTGATACTATAGATCACATACAATTATAGATACAAATTGATAAGTATGGGATACAAGGTATTGCTTATTATTGGCTGGAAAGCTATTTAGAAATTAGACAAGCGTGTGTTAAAATGAATGATAATGTGTCAGGAAGGTTACCTTTGGAGAACCCCAGGGATCAGCGATTGGTCAAAAATTGTTTATACTATAAATTCATGTTATTTGCAGTTTTACTGATTTTTTTAAATATATTATTTTGCAGATAATACAAATTTATTTTTGTTCTGGTAAAAAAAAAAGGCTTTCTGTGTTGTGTCAAAGGGAGCTTGGGATTCTCAAAACTTGGTTATATATTAATAAAATGTTTCTTGATATTATGAAAACTAAACTCATGTTTTTGATCAAATGTTAAAAATCTGTAATACTTATTTTGAAAGAGTTTTTGAGACTAAGTTCCTGGGTTGTTATAAATCATAATTAACATGGAAGCAACATACTGACTAATCAAAAATGTCAAAGTCAATAGCAATTCTGTAAATCTAGAAATATATTAAATTATAAGGCCATGCATATAATCTCTTGCTCACTTGTTATGTTATATTTACGCTGTGGACTTGTGGGGATCAACCTTTTTGATCATTATACTGCAAACGATGCAAACGCCATGCATATTACTAATTAGACTGATCATGATGCTCACATAAATCCACTTTTTCTAAATTAAAATGTCATGAAATGTAATGACTTGTTAAAAGCAGTTTGCTTCTGCCTATGCCTTTTTAGTCACTGATTAATCACATGACTGTTGACATTTTTTTAACTGTCTATATTGTTTAAAAATATTGTATTATGTATTATGACTGAATGAAAAAATACTCAAAAATATTAAAATATATATTTGTAAAATTTCTATTGTCAAATACAGCACATATACTCAATTACATATTATATTGTCTTTATGTGAATGTCTCTCACCTGGCTGGGCCAATCAGTATTTTCATCTCCTCAACGAGGTGCCTCCTCACCATGTGCTTGTTGCTTGGGATCCCCAGTGATGTTGCCATGGTGTCAGTGTTGAAAGTAGGGTCAAGCACCATGGCAGCGCCGTGAACTCCACTGTTCAAAAGATTTTCAGCAAACTCCTGTACGGGTGGATTCCAAAAAAGACAAAAGAGTAACTTCTTTCATTCCATACATCAAATAGACTATTATCTTAAGTGGTTATTGCTGGGAAAAAAAACTCCCTGATATCAACAGTGTCAGTAATGCTTTTATATTTACTTCTCGTCAAAGAACATTAGGACTCAGTTGTTGATGTCAGTATAAATTCACACTCCCTGAGGATATTAACAGGATGTCAGTCCAGGCAGCCTTTTGTTTTCACACCCTTGATGTGAAAGCATGAAGCATAATGGAACCATGTTTTGCTGAGCCAAGACAGCAGACAATGTACACTACAGATATTCATATTGCTACACAGCAGCTGCAAGCTAGTCAACTAGTATTAGCTAAAGGGTAAATAACTAAGTTCTTCTCTTACCCTGTGGAGGTGTGGAATGCTGAGCTAACAAGAGCCTCAATTACCAACAATACCAGGTGATAGTTTTCTTATAAAGATCAATGCATTTGTATATTTGGATCATCAATATTTTTCTTAAAATACACAATTTGTGTTACAACTGTTACGCAACTTTTACCTGGCAGTTTTTAAGCCTCAATTTTAGTTTCATAATGTCAAACGAGAATTACAAATCATTTTTTCAGAACTATTTGCAGTAACTTTTACATGTGTTTAGACTGCATTCTCCTGCTCTCTTTTCTCACCTTAAGGTCAATATCTTTGACCCATTTCACAACCCGATGGGAGGTCCACACCAATGGATCTACGTTCTGGTATTCACACTGTACACGGCGAGCCTGCAGAGCCTGGAAACCATTTCACCAAACACCTCAGAGAAGCACTTTGTTCACTTGAAGCTACAGTATACTATATAATAATGCTATAATGGTACAGCTTGTCCATACTCTTACTTACCTCCTTGTCAAAATTGAGTAAGTGCAGCAGTTCGATACCTAGAAGCAAGCTGACTTGGTGGAACTTCTTGGTGATGTTGAGGTGGCGTTCAAGGTCACGACGTGTCAGAGAGTTCAGCATGCGTCCGTCTACCAAGTGGTTGTGAAAGGCTTGAGAATACTGAGGCAAACCTATGTCACTTAACCAGGCCTTGGCCACCCAGTGGTGGTCCATATCTGCAGCCTTGGACAGCCTGCACGCACACACAGAGACACTTTTTCTCAATGGTCACTTTAACTAAATAAAGAAATTACATTCAACTTCCAACTCTTATGGTATCTAGCCGTAAAGTCACATCAGCTTAATGGATACCTTCAGTCTGTCAGCCACTGTTGAAAATCTCAACAGCTATTGAATGGCCTGCCATGCAAACACTCGTGTTATCCAGAGGATTAATCCAACTAACTTCAGTGACTTTTTTGTATTATATACTTTCAGGATTAATAGGGATAACTTCTGATGATAACTTTTAACCAATGCAACTACAATATCTAATAGGGAATCAAAAGAAAACGTATCAGACATTTTGATAATCTAATAACTGTTTAGGTCAGATATGAATTTAAAGTACCAACCCTTGTTGAACCTCATTAAACACAAATCAGATTGATTTTGCTGGTCTTTTTTGAGAGTCAAAATCATATCCATGAGTTAAGACTGATCGTCTTTCACCCTGAGCTTCATGAAATGTCTGTCTTGAAGTTTATATGCTATAATCGCATTTAAAAATTAGTTTCCATTCCTATTAAATATAACTACAGCAAGTCAACTGCACTTTAAAGGGACTTTTTTGGTTTATTGAAATCCCAATAAAAACTGTGGTTTATGAATTTTCCATGGTAACAGGAGACTGCTACTTGAAAGGAACATTACTGTTAAATAGTTAAAGTAAAAGATCTCCATTCTGTTGTGGAATTGGCAGAGTATCTAAAAGAAAACATGGCTCACTGAAGTCATAGGAGTGCATATTTAAATATTATGGTAAGTGAGAAATTGGGATTTTTTTCTGATTCTTGTGAGCTGACTGGTTCACTTATTTATTTATTTTTATCAGTGTTCATGAAGGCAGGATCAATTATGGATAAATCAGTGGTAAAAAAAAATAGGAGGTTTTTCTTCATAACTTTGTAAAGCCTATATTCTTACTTTTTCTGTATTAATAATAGTTTAAAATGTTGTAACTATAAACCACCAGCAGATGGCTCTCTTATATTACACAATGCACAGTTAAGGCAAGACGTTTCTTTTTCCTTGCTTACCCTCTACCGTTCTCAGCATCCCTGTAATCCTCAATGGCCAAGCGGAGTTTGCGGCGATGCATTATATTGCTGACTCCTAGACCCATCTCCAGGTCTTCATCTGTTAACCCAAGTAAGACCTGCAAAATGTCAGAGAAACTTGGTACTGTTTCCTGCAAGTAAAACCACTCAGTGAACGTGTCCTATAAACAGACACCATGTTGAATGAAGATAGTGCACACAAATATTTGATATACATGTGCTAATTGTATCATACCTTTCCACTCTTGACATTTTCAGAGCATGTGCGGATGTACATGGGCATCGCCATGACAACCTCTAGCCAGGCCTGCACAGTGCCTGCCCTCCACAGGGACATGGGTGTGGTCCTGGCTAGCTCCACCTGCTGGAGGCGGTCCAGCTGGTCCTCTGAGCCGTCTGACAGGCTGAGGCTGTGTCTGGTGGGGCTGGAGATGCTGTCTGAGTCTGGGTAAGTGGGTGAGGGGAAGGGGGGAGTGGACAGGGGAGGAGATGTGGGTATTGTAGTTGAAGGGAGTGAGTGAGGGCAAAGGTGGGAGTGAGTGTAGTGAGCAATAAAAACAAAAAACATAGTGTAACAAATTAGTACTTTAAGTATAATGTCAACCCGTGTGTCTGATTGTGAATAATTTCTTCAAAATAAACTCTCTTTAACAACACTTTAAGCATTTGGCTGGATGACAACAAGCCAAACGATTGCCAGAGCAGCCGTAAATAAAGTTGAAGCTTTCATAAACAAGCTCATCACTGGGCGGCTGTGGCTCAGTTGGTAGAGGTGCCGCCTCTCAACCGGAAGGTCGAGGATGCGATCCCCAGCTGGGCAACATGTCCGATGTGTCCTTGGGCAAGACACTTAACCCCGAATTGCTCCCGCTGCTTCGGTGGCAGTGTATGAATGGCATTAGTTACTTCTGATGGATGATACTACATAGTGATCACTACCATCAGTGTGTGAAAGGATATGAATGGGTGGGTGTGACATGTGGTGTAAAAGCGCTCTGAGTAGTCGGAAGACTAGGAAAGCGCTATATAAGCTCAAATCCATTTACCATTCAAGTCCATTTAAGAAGTCCATTAAGCAGGCAGCTGTTTGAACAGTTTCATGACTCATCTGTCTAAATTAGTATGCAGCAAAAGCTTTGGAGAAGTTCAAGTCATGTTATGTTTAGATACTTGGCATAAAATCTGCCTGAGATTATAAAAGATTATGATAAACGTATACCTTTAAATTGTATGTTGTCCTTTAAAACCTCTTGTTTAGCAGTTATGCTTTGAAGAGTGGCCAATATTTCCTGTTCAGGATTGTTGACATATTTGAATGACTGCTGAATCAGGCCTAGCTAGTATAAGTAAACAATGCAGGTCACTTTCAGGTCCCTGGAAGGTAATTTCAAGTCTTTACCCGCAGGTGGCAAACTAGTACCAGTTTCATAATAAGCAGATGACATAGCATCACATCGGTTCAAAGTAAAAGGTGTTGTTGTTCTTTAAGTCTAAAGTACATTTGGAGTATTATGTGATATTTGTTTAAAGGTCCCATATTTAGCTTTTTCTGGTTTTATATGCTCTTTAGTGTGTTTTCCAAGTGTCCTGTGCATGTTTAGGCACATCTATTTGCAAAAATTCAAAGTCCACGGAAACACGGCTTCTCTTACGTCCTCCTGTTAGCTGTAGCATTAGCTGCACGTAACGTTCGGTTCTAGCCCCCCTCGATAAAAATGTGTCAGTGCGGCGTCATTGTCAGTGTGAGATCACTGATCTGGCTCGTTGTGGCAAATTGTTGAAATTTCCGAGAAGCGTGCTGAGCAACTGACCAATAACAACAGAGCGGATCGGCAGACCAATCAGAACAGACTTGGCCCACGTGGGGTCTAACAGTGTGGGCTCAACAGAGCGTAGCTGACAGACTCAGAGCAGAGAGGGAGCAAGGAGGAGCAGTACATGAAAACAGACACTTTTTTCAAACTTCAGCTATTATGAACGTACAAAAGTAGGTACATAGATTAAATATACGAACCCCAAAAAGGGCAGAATATGGGCTCTTTAAAATATATGTTCCCCACTGACAAAATTAGAGAAGGCCTACAATGCAAATAATTCTGCCTGGTCAGCAACCCAAAATGGGTAACCTCAAAGTAACCTCTCTCTTCCAGTACTGGACTGCTCCAGTTGCATCCTTACCATTTTAAACTGTCAGGAGCTAATGAACTTTAGACAATCATACTGGTTGAACCTTTAATTTGCAAAAACATTATTATTTTTTTGACAGTTATTTTATATAAAGAAATGTAAGAAACAATGAGGCTCTACGCTGGAATCATAACGTTTGTAGTTGTCTTGGAGCCAAAAACCTTAAAAAGAAAAAAAGATCATCAGGTTGGGTTTTTGGCTCTGTCTCTTTGTGTCTATTTATTTGTAGAACATGAAAATCAACTTCTAGGCAGACTTAAACATTCCCATGGCATTCCACTTCAGTAATTAATCTGAAGCTGAATGGCTTTATGTTTCCCTTTAAGAAAAATGTATTAACTGAAGGTGCACTAATCTATAAATCTGCTCATGCATGTGTAAGAGTATATAAATATTGTGTATTTTTGTATACTAAACACTGTGTACATCTGCGTTAATGTACTAAATCCAAACACTGCTTAAATTGACACTTATGGATTATGTTAATATATGCTGCTATAATTCATCCTCCAGGCCACTTGGTGATATAAGTGGACCTCCCTTTCCAGAGCATCTCAACACTTCCACGCCCTGAAGAAGACCATATGCGATCAAAATCAGATGTTTTGTTCCCTGATTGTTTATGTTTTTGCCATTATGCCCTGATTAAATAAAGACATTTTATCCTTGGCGCAAGCGAGAGTGCATTTTGCTTCCATCCTACCTTGAATAAATCTGCTCTTTGAACAGAAGTGCTCTGTTGTCCAGATACAATGTCTTATTTTCACAGCGGAGAGCGTCTGCACAAAGGCCTGCCACATTCAGAGCTGTGAAATCGACTTTCTGACATGAAGTTGGAGACTAAACTGTTGGAGACTGGACTCTCTGTGACCTCACAGTTAGCTCCTCCCGTGGGACTGACCCTCTTTAAAACTCACTGAAAGCAGAGTGAGAACAACTCACAGTTATGTGGTTGTGTCACTGAGAAGGGTTTTCTGTCTGAGGTGCCTGAGTGTTAAGTCTGCGTTGTAAACACTGTGATGGATCGTTAATCCTTTTGTCCGGGTAGAATAGCAGTTTGTAAATATTACAATCGACACAGTATACTTGTTTAAGCAATCAATTCTTGTGCCCTTCAATAGCTTGTGTCATGGATGTTACTGCAACAACACTGCAGCATTTCTTAAATGGTGTCACTGTCAATATTTATAAATTAAGAGCAGGTAGTGTTGTGTACAAGATGCCCATGATACATTTGTAAGAAATAATTTTATATATTTTACTCTTAATTGGATTTGCTATGTTTCCAGATTGATTTAGGTTCGCAATTTAACATCAATTAAAAAACCCAAGGTGGCTTTCCAGTGGTGTACCTTGTAAACTGTACTTAGGCTAGTTGTTTTCTAGCTATGAGAAAATAAATGTAAGAAAATACTTAATGTACTAATGTAGAACTTAAAAACTGATACCTACTCTGCTATAAGGGTGAAATGATCCTGATTTTCTTGTTGTGTTATTAGTAATTACTTTGTCCATACTGTCACACCTGTCAGCCAATTGATGTGTCAGCTGTGCTCTAAAAAAATCATAGACTACAAACATAGACGCAGTGTCAGTGACATCATCCATTAGTTTCAATAGAGACAAGCAAAAGCCCCTTGAATAGCCCTAATATTAAGAGCTCCTCCTGCTGACTTAGTGCAGAATAGGTCATAAACCTGGCCTTCGAAAATGATGTCAGATGGGACTGGGTCAACGATGAAATCAACATGCAAATCAGATTCATTTTTCTCAAACATGGATCTGTCATGGTCGCAAATTATTATCATGCAAGTTTCTATTCAAGTCTCTTTTCTCTGAAGTTTCTTTATGATTGACAGCTCTGTTGAGGAATGCAGAGAACAGCAGAAAAGACGAGAGAAAACATAACTAACAAAAACCGACAGTTTCCACAGGATCCGCAGTGCGCAGCATCCTGTGTCTAGCTTTTTTTTTATCCGTCCAGTGACACGCCCTCCCTACCCCATTTTTGAAGCGTAAGTGCAGAAGAGCGCAGCCATGAGCAGCCGAACCTGCGGGTTCACAAGATCACAGGATTACCATAAGAAGTTACTTTGCCTTTCTGAGGTTCATTTGTTGTTCATGTGGTTCTTGCTTTGTAGTAATGTTGATTGTTGTCTGTCTTCCTGTCCTAGTCAATCTGCTCTGTTCAGCTTCACGCATGCTTGCAGTGGGCTCCGTTCAAAATAGACTTGCGCATTTGGAGAGGAATGGCGCTTCTGGCACCCGATGTAGACGGACCAAGTGTAGTGGAAACACAAGACTAGAGGGGGCACAATAAACTGGGGGTGGCAGTAGCTCAGTCTGTAGGGACTTGGGTTGGGAATCAGAGAGTCACCAGTTCAAGTCCCAGCACAGACCAAGTCTGTAAGTTGGTCTGGCAGCTGGAGAGGTGCTAGTCCACTTCCTGAATACTGCCAAGGTGTGTGTATTTCAGCCTATGTTTATATAGCATGTTCATTAAAACAGAGTGTAAAAAACAAATTTCCCATCACACGAACAGTAAGGTATAAAGCTCCAGAGTGCATGGCACAGTCAGAACACAAGTGCCAGTAACTGCTTATTGAATGTCTGCTTCAAACCCATACTAGAAACTGTTCTACTGTGGACTATCCGCACCTGTGGGATTTTTGTCCTTTTATCGGCAAGTGTGTGTTTTTTCATAGCAGAAGCAGCGCAACATCAATACCGCAGCTCTTCCAGCCAATCTCTAAACATATATTTTTGATATTTAATCTGGGCTCTCACTTCCTCATTGGCTTTAATTTTCAAGACCAGCGGCTGCAGTTGCAGGAAAATATGTATATTTGCGTTTAAAGGGAAGTGAGACACTCCCTCCCGCTCTCATGTCTGCATAATAACAATACAGTTAAACTACATCCAATCTGTTTTCAGTCTATGCTAAGCTATGCTAACCCACTTCTGATTACAGCCTCATATTCAACTTGAAACAACTGTCAACAAGAAAACAATTGAAAACTACTCCTTTGCCAAATGTAAGTTGTTGAGATGTTGATTGAAGTATGAATTTGGAAAGTCCAAATTAAATCTGTTGAATTTATAATAAAATTCAAATTATGTAATTTGGATAAATATTAAAAAACATGGGGAAAAAAAACTTTCTTTGCACCAAAAAGCATACTGACATGAAAGGACTTAATTGTGTTATGACAGTTCTCATCAGAAACAGATTGAACTTGAAGAAGTGCTTCATTTAAGGGTCATTTTGTTATGCATTTGGAAGTTTTCATCAGGCATCTGCAATCACAGCTTGAAACCCAGATGATCTCATTTTAAAAAAGCGATTGAAACTGGTGTACCTTGGTCTGATTGATCACTCTCTGGGTCACTTCACTGTGTTGAGAGTCCAGTGGAGGTTGGGGGAGAGGGGTCGGTGTTAGAGGTCAGAGAACATTATTGACACCATGTGCTGACACATAAGTTCAAACAATCTGACATGGCTTCCTTTCCCCTTTCCTTTGTTTTCTGATTGTTGGTTTCAGAACCACAGGAGATATCTTTTCAGAACAAATTATGATTTAATATTGTCAGAGAGAGGAAAGGAGGCCATTTGGAAGCTTTTGGGATGCAGTCCTCTCACAGATGGACTCACAGGGCTGAGGGAGGATAACACATGTTAAAAATGGCAGCCCCCCCAGCATAAAGGGTCCAATCGATTAGAGCCATACCACAACAAATGAACACATACACACAGACATTAACACAGGGAAAGAGAGGACAGTCACATGGAAATTCAACGTTATTAATTTTATTTTAAAATAATCATATTCTTCTCATTTATTTATTTATTTTTTGCGTGATTTTGTTGCCATGCCTTTCAAATTGAATAGCTCCTTTCCAACTCTAAACATCTCAGAGCCTCACAATAGACACCCTCCACTGAGGCCTACTTCTTTGACTTTAAATAAAACTCTTTAATAATAATAATATTAATTTTATTTCTGTAATGTTGTCTACTTTACAAAAAGTAAAATATTTGTGGAAAATAAAAAGAACAAAGAGGCCGTGGCTCCAAACATGAAAAGTATACACTGTTTTCCATTTGATATGTTTTTCCCCTTCAGATGAGGATCATAACTGTTGGTTTAAGGTCAAATAAAAATAGCGGAGATTTTACACATTCCATTTCATTGCATGTTTACTGAAATAAACTGGCTGAGCTGTTGTTCTTACACATTTTCATACATGGTGACTTATCTTTGAATTACCTTTGTGATTCATCTCTAAATCCCATGTCTGTGTGCCCAAATGTAGGTTGAGTTTAGGGTTAAATGATAATCCCCTCACTGCCTCTATGGACATTCTTTTTTGAAGAGCTCTGTGGTTAAATACAGCTCCAGTGTAATCTGTGGCTCTACAGTGTTTCAGAGGAGACTGACAAATACCCAGTGTTAGTCAAATATCAGTGAGAGAAAAGAGTTCCTGGGGGTGGCAGTGCAGACTCCAGCTCAATCCAATGAAAGGGCAAAGAATAATCCAATATCTGTAGTTATTCTTTTGCTTGACAAAATGCTATTAACCTTTGGCACAAAGTTAATTGCTTTTTCAGCAATCGCCTGAACTCTGGGGGTCATGGGAAAAGGTATGCATCAGTTTGACTAGCCTGCTTAATTCTGATTCTTACCTCCTGAGTTGGTACTCTGTATTGTTAATATATAACAGTTCACTAAATGTCTGCTTCATGCTCAGGACTCTGAATTTAAGCCCTTTTCTGGTTAAATGACCCTCAGTCTTCTGTGACAATAGGGTTGTGTTTTAAGACCATCTTCTAATTCTATTCCTGACAGCCTATTCAAGTTTTATAAAAGGAAATCTACAAGCATCTGTTAGGATAATAATCTTAATTTTAGCGCTGACCTGTGATTTTTCATATTTCAAATGCAATAGTGCATATATTTTCTGTTTTTATTTTGGGATGTTAAGCCTCTTGAACATAAATAAACATGTTTTCTGAATAACAAAACTGCTACCTTATTTGAATAGCATGAGATCAGCAATTGAACTGTCTTTTTTTATAAACAAACCTACCTGACAACATACCCAGAGAAATACGTTCATGTTTAGTAGGGTTTGTCCAACATGCAGGCAACTGGAGCTATGTGCATGCATGTAACACTTGTACCTCAAACATGTACCTTCTATCTTAACAGATAGAAAACACATTTCTTACATTTCCTGTTTGGCTTCATGTTGCCCTGGAACAAACTGTTCTGCAAAGGAAGATTGTTCGTCTCTTCACAATGTCTTTGAAGTCTCGTGAGCAGATATCAAGGGGTGAACAGTTTGCTAGGTTGTTCGGGGATTTGTTAAACAAATGGAATAAAGGGTATTTTAGAGGAGTCTGCATGTTGCCTACAGGAAACTGTTCTCATCATGGCAGCGAGGAAGGAGGGGGATGGACCAAGCAGGACAGTCAACAAGGAGGAGTTTAAGTTAAAAGGTCGTGAGAAGGGGAGTACATGTCCAAAAGAACAAAAGGCATTCAGGACAAGGAGACATTTACACTCACAAAGTGCACATCAACTGTTGTTATTTACAAGTACAGCAGTCCTTCAAGTTTCCAGTCAAGTGAAAACAAAAAGTCAAAGTGTAAAGAACAATTCAAAGATCCAATAACACAGCTGTTTTGGAGGGCAGATCCAATGGTACATATCCACACTGTGTCCACTCTATTTACAGGACTGTACACTGTGTATGCAGGTGCAATTTGCTCATTAAGGTTTACATTTCAGCGAAGCAAGACCTGCCTCCAGCTTTTCACATGGCTTCTGACCATGAAGAACACACGCATGCACACGCTCTCACACTCACACACACACACACACACACACACACACACACACACACACACACACACACACACACACACACACACACACACACGCACACACACACACACAACACACATTAAGTAATGCATGCATGTGAGGCTGCACAGACACACACATCATATATCTGTACATTCTGACATCACACACACACCCATCCTCTCACACCTGCACACAACATTGTCTTCAGATAACTGCCACAAAAGGCTCTTCAGGGGGCTCGATTGGACATGTGTGCTTTACCAGTCTGCATCTTCCTCTATGTAATAATCAGGCGTTGAAGTACCATCAAACAAACCAGGGTCGAGGGATTTGCGCTGCTTTCCCCGGGCAAAGACGCGCGACAGAGAGCCCAGCCCCATCTTCTCTTTCTTCTTCTTACGCTTCGCCTCCTCCAGATCTTCTAGGGACTGAAGGAGGAAGAAAGAGGGAAAGACGATGAAGAGATGGAGAGATGCAGAGAAGTCAGAGAAGGGATGTTAAGTAAGCAATAAGGAATAGAAAAGATAAAGTTCACATCACAGTGGGGGAGTGACTCTTGACATGCTGCCAGCATGCACTTTTCCACAACCACAACCAGTTTACAAAAAAATAAGTCATTGCTGCAGAGTGAGGACACATCACCAAAAAACTGCGTGGGAGAGACATGGATTCAGCCTAAACAATGGCGGAAGGAAACAACAGCGGCCAGAAAGCAGGACAGCCAGCAGTTCAGCAGTTACTAAAAGGGAGGCGACTACTGGTGAGGGAGGTGGGCAGCTCTTACATTGCAGAGGGAGTGAGTCCGATGGCGTGGTGAGTTGATGTCACTAGGTGTAGATGAGCGGTCTCCCTCCATAGCCGAGGCGTCAGAGATGATGGAGGGCTGACGTGAGTGACAAGGGCTTACACGCACGGCAGCCACTAAACAGACGAGAAGGAGAAGAGAAAAGCTGGTTTTCCTTGGGGTTTATTTGGGCACCAAAAGTAGCTCACAGGGATAATCTGAGTTTTCTTAACAATGCCACAACAGCCTTAAATAAAAAAAATTCAAAATTCAAAAGCCCCTGACCAAAAGCCTGAAATTATTTGCAATCATCTGCAGTTGCTAAGCAACAGTGAAAACAGCTTCACAGAGGTTGAGCAAGTGTGTGTGTGTGTGTGTGTGTGTGTGTGTGTGTGTGTGTGTGTGTGTGTGTGTGTGTGTGTGTGTTTGTATTATGTACCAGTGAGACTGATCTATAGAATAGAATCCAGTGCATAGCTACAGTATGCAGGCGCTTGTGACTGCTCACATGTTTCCCCTGTTTAAGTATGATTCTTCCTCCTGACGTCTCTGACCTGGGTTGGCAACAAGTTTGAAGGCTTTGCTGTCCTTAAAATCCGCTGTGAGGTACCAGTAAGCTTCATGTTATGCTTACAGCTTTGATCGTTCACAAAGACACCTGGTTGACCCTTAGAAATGAGTGCATGTGAGTTTACTGTTAACTGCAGACGATTTACTTCATAATAACAATATTTTATACAAGATATTAAAATGTATAATACATTTATTGTTATTTGACTTTTTTCTGTATGTAGCTAACCTAAGTAGCTGTCACATAATATCCTTTCACACATATCAGGACCTGAGTGTCCTGAAATTATCTAGAAAATGTCGTAAATTGCCCTGTGAAAAAGGGCTTTACTAACCTAACTCTGTTTTGACTCTGTCCAAGCTCTCACCCCACATCTATAAATTCCACCGTGTTCTTGATTTTGAGTGAAAAAACATTTAACCAGACAAAAACAGTACTGAACACCCAACAGAACCTCATCTGCGACCATTCTTCAATACATGGGAGACATTTCTGTTCATCAGCACATCCTGTAACGAAGCTGTAAAGCCAAAAATACTTTTGCTGTACCGCTACAGAAAGCGCATGAAATGTCACAACCAGAGCATCAGCACCAACAATGTGAATGAACTGAGCAGATGGTGATAGGTAATGTCTGTAAGCAGGTCTACATGTGCATGCAGAGGGTATATGATGGTTAAATCCCTGATGTGTGCGTCAGTTCATGATGATTAAGGTGTTACCATACCTTGTCTGTCAGTAGGATGTCCTGTGTGAACATACAGGGTCTGCTGACTCTGTCTGATGGCAGCGGTCAGGGGGAGGTCCGCATGCATCACCCACTCCTGGTTGTTTCCGTTGACAACCGTTTCTGTGGGCATGGCCAGAGAGTGACGCTTGGGCACATCCTTGGTCAGGGTGGATAGTGACTGTTTGGCCTTGAGAGAAGAGACAAAACAGATGCAATCATTCAGAAAGCTAAAAAAAAAACAACCATCGGGGGAAACATTATTTGGCAATAATCTTTTTTTATGATTGAGTTTGTGTTTCCCCTTTTCAGTTCTTGATGGTTTTTTTTACAGTTTCATAAGTTTCTATTTCATTCGTATGTGCACACATGTACATGTCTGGTCAGCTGGTCACATGTTCGTCTTTCGTTGTGTGAATAACTTTTAGGGCTTCTGAGAGTAGAAAAATGAATAGAATATGTGGATAATATGTTCGCTCTTTGCTCTTCTTATCATGCCAAGCAAAGGACAGGCTGCAAATCAACACCATGAGCTTCATTGCAATTATCTCTACCTACCAGTAGTCAAACAATTACAAATCATAGTCCTTGACATGCAAAACAGAGATCAATCACAAACCTCCAGAGTAATCATTAGTTCCCAGAATATTGATGTGGTTATCCCCAAGGTGATTCTTTGCTCAATTACGCATCAAACACAAACATGTCAATCACAGTAGGGGAATCTGTGGGATCACTCATGTTAGGATCACTGGAATCAGGGTTAGTAAAAAAAACAAACCGTGCAGCTCAGGAGGTGCTTTCCAAAACCACAAACAGGTCACAGGTAGGAGACATTTCCAGGGAATAGGAAGGTCAAGAAAGGTTATAATTTAAAGTTGGGCTCATCTTACCGCCATGAACCTAGGAGAGTAGTCCCTGTCTGCAACTCGCTCAAACACCCGGAACTCCATTCTCTGATTGACACAGTTACTCATCTGGGGGGTTGGAGACATGACGGATGGCTATACTTTACATTTAATGTTGGTGCTTGATTTTATGCAGTATACCCAAAATAGTGCAAACAGAATGTGATTATCTATTATTTACTAATTGGCATTAATATCTTCTTTTCAATTTCCTTGTGAGAAGTTGCTAAACATGTGAAAAGTCTGATTTTTGATAACTACTTCAGTTCAATATGCATAAAGGTCTTTGGCTCTCTGTCACGTTTTGGTTACTTTATATTACAAGTAAAAACTCCACATTTTGTTAAGCTACTCATTGCACTTAAAAGTGCATTCTAAACTAGAGAGGGTTTGAAAAGGTTAATGACAGAGACATCCGTCCGTCTTGCTGACTCACCATGGCCAGTTCAGCCTCCAGCTCTTTGATGCGATTCTCCTTCAGGTCGAGCTGGGAGCGCAGCATCCCTGTGTGCTCCGTTGCTTCCTTTGTCTGCCGCCGCAGGTCCCACTTCTCTCTCTCCAGCAGGTCCTTCTCTTTTGCCAGCGCCTTCACCGCATCCTCGCTCTCCTAGTACATACAGAGAACCTGATCGATTGATTCACTTATCAAGCATTGAAAAACTGATGAAGTCTGGTAATGCAGCTTTTTATAAACACCGATTATATGACATGTTATTTTATTGTCTAATCCCATGTAATAACATTTCATTTGAAAGACACCTTCCTTTTTTTTTATATAGATTTTTTTGTGCATGCACTTGGTCGCCCCATGAAAGCCATACTTTTCTGTGCTGCTCATAGTTGCGTATGAAGTCTCGGAGCTGCTCCTCCCGGCTCTCCAGTGTGGCGTAAAGCTGCTGCATCTGGTTCACCAGATCTGCTTTCTCCGCCTTCAGGCGCTTTCGGTCTGACTTCATGGCTACAAGGAAAAATACAGAGAGTGAGAGGAGGATTGGTTAGTTTACATCACAGACCTTTAACATGTCTTTGCATATGAAGGATATAATAAATGACAATGTGTTGAGTACCTTATTTCCACTGAATATGAATGAATGAATGTTTTTTATTTTGGTCATTCTTTAAAGAATAACAAGAGTCAAAATGATTTGTGCAAATAGTCTACTTACAGAAATAGAGACAAAAAAACTTGACATGTTTACACTTGTCCATTTCCCACAATAACATTCAAACAATCAATGACCAAAAAAGGAAGAGCATACATGAACAACAATCATAAATGCTGCCTTCCTTGGATTGTAGGAGACAGATGGTTTTAACTTTTAAATTGGCCGTTATTTTATTCCACAAATATTGCACAGAATTATTTAGTACAAGAATTTCAAGAAACAACTAAAACAGGAATTCAATTTGTTCAACATGCTCGAGGGGACTAGTCTACAATGTTTCCTTTTTAAGTCAGTATGCTGTCCACAAATACAGATTTAAGCAGTTTACTTAGCAATTATTACTTTAATATGTATATTTATTGATATATCTTGTGTTGTCCAGTGCTTTCAGATCTTAGGCGTTCAGTCAAACAATGAAATACCCCTGCTGTTTCTGATCAAATGTGGTGTGGTTGTGTGCTGATAAAGAGGTGAATCACACATGAACCATCCTGTCAATTTCCCCTCTGCCGCTGGATTCTTTAGAAGCTGGCTCGCTCTTTTCATCTATCTCTCTGCTGCACACTTTCTCTAATCCCCCGGCACCTCACCCACGCATCATGATAAAGAATGTGGCTCAATGTAGTTATTCACAGGATGTCTAATTTTCTCACAGACAGCATAGCCCTTTTTTTTGTCTCCAATGCATCTGCTTCCTGTTCTCTCTGGATGTTCTCTTCCTCTTCAAGCCTGTTTTCTGTGCATCTGCTTTCAGACAACTTTCACTGCAGTGATCTTTCCAAACTGACAATGTATGCTCTATTACATTTTATGTATTCTTTTTGTGTCCGTCCACTTTTGGTTCCGTTTTCACTTTGACATCTATTTTCTCACAGCACAGCCTCTCTTCAGGCTTGGTATCATGTGTTCACCTTTCTTTTCCAGTCCTATAATTTCCCATCTGAGCCAGCTGTGTGTCATTAATTAACTTATATCACAGCCTGGTAAATATCTTGACATTCACAAGCTGCATCTGGGGAGCATGCTCAGGCAAGTGGAATGGAAATGCATTTTTTACAAGGACAGGATGGCTCTTGTTTCCTGTCCTTCATTTTTCTCCTGTCACAATTTTATATGTCTCCCTGTCAGCTGTTCTTTAGCGGTGGAATCCCCGAGCAAAAAGGGATATTCAAGCCACACTGGCCAGCAAAAGAAGTCAAGAATCATTTCATTTGCCACAAGAAAAACAGGAAACCTCCCAGCACCTGCGTCAGGAAGTGAAATCAAAGCCATCTTTGAGATGAGCCAAATGCTGCTTCACATCCTGCACCTGTGACTGTTTGGCAACAGAGACTACTTGATGTCAGATACAAGACAGCACTCTGTGTGACTCTCTAAAAGGGTCCATTCATGTTAACACTGTTGCTTAAAATGTACAACCTATGAATGAACACTTTAAATGATCATTATGGTCCTGTGGCTCATCACAGGCAAGTTACACTTTAGAATTCACACTGGATGAGATGGGGAAGCACTAGCAAATCTCCTCCTAGTGACTGACTGCCATATAAATGACTTACACACTCCGTTGCTCAGTCCAAGCCTCCAAGAATTATTACAGATGAAACAAGAGCAAACCACCTGGGAGCGTACAGAGCTGGATCTAATGTGTATTGAGCTGGAGGAGGAGGAAGACGGAGTGAGCTTCTGAGAGGAATTTAAAAGTCTATTCATGGAGGTTTGATATCCATGCAAGAACCTGCTGGCACAACGAGAGTCAACGTCTCTCAACCGGAAGGTCGGGCTCCTGCAATCATTCGTCAGCCGCGTATGAATGGGATTAGTTACTTCTGATGGTCTCACTACTAGCAACCTCTGTCACCAGTGTGTGGATTTACTGCCTTAATGTTATAAGAGACATGACCAGTAAAAATGATTTAGAGCTCAATTTCATCAAAAACAGAGTTTCTGGCCGTGGTTCAAGATAAAGTTGTCCCTGTCGTCTTGCAAAACTCTGGGTCCCTTTTTACTTTGCTGTTTGCTCAAATCTGCATTGTTTAGAAGTATATTTGAAAATAGACCAAAAACAACTGCCTACATCATGCTCCCCTGACACATGCTCTAAAATCTGTGTGTTATTTAGCCCATCACGTCTAAGCTCTTCAGGTGCCAAAGCCCTTGTGTTGAAAAGTAGTTTAATGTGAGGACGCATTTCTGTAGTGGGCTAAAAGCTTTCATTTGCTGCACTCTTCTGTGACGCTTTATGTTAGAGGAGTTAGCGCACAATGAGCGAGCCTACTTGTTAGTTACTAAACAGGAATACTGAACTCCTCAGGGAGTTACTTGTTGGAGGCGCTTCTGTTTAAAAAATATTGTTACTTAAAGAAAAAGTTTTTGGGGAAAACCCTTGGTCACTCTGACTGAGACTGAGACGATTGATACCACTCTCATGTCTGTATGTTATTTTTTAAACTACAGCCAACAGTAGGGTGACCATGTTTTCAAACCTCCAAATAAGGACTATAATACGACCGCAAACCCACATGTATGAGCTGATGGTACAAATGGATTTTTCAGCAGAGCACCTTTTTAACATCAAGGAAAGTGGTACAGCAGATGAAAAATCCTGTCTCCTAAAAACAACCAAAACATGTGTAATAGAATATTTTAATTTATATTTTACCAAATAGTAGACCTGCACTAGTCACACAAGTTGGTAGGCAACGGTGCCCTCTTGAGCAGCCCGTTTAAGTTGGTTGCCAACGGCATTTGCCTAACTGGAGTAGATCGGAACAGTGCCTGTACCTACCGTTTGTGCTTGCTTGATTTAATATGGCTTTGTCTTTCAGTATTTCCACCATGGGTGACTGAAAATGGACACTTGCAGTGTTTGCAACACTCAGCATATTCATTGTGTGGTACTTTTTGAAGGAAAGTGCAACTCTCCTGGAGCTCTTTGGAAAATGTATTTTGTCCTGACACAACTCAGTAGTTTTTGTAAGGTCAGGGTATGTACCAGTACATTTTTTGTGATTGGCTCTCCTCCCTGAACATGTCTGGACAGCAGAGGCTTGAAATTTAGTGCTAAGAAAAAAAAAATCACTTTTCAAAATGTTCTTCCTGCTGTGAAAACATTTCACTGTAGGTATCCTTTCTGAAGTGAGTTGAATCCATGCTGGACCAGAGCTGCTGCTGTTTGTGCAAAAGTAAACCAGAAACTGTTCACAGAATGTCTCCAATGTTTCATTTTTAAAGGAATGATCTTTGGTGGACCACCACTATAAAACACTAAAGGGATGAATTACATGCAACCTCCATTCTGCGTATGTCTTGGCTCCAAATTATGTCCCCAGCACAATATGTCTGTTCCTGTTTTGGTGGATAGTCTGACTTAAATTCAAAGCAATGGAAGGAGATGGAGAAGGGCTCCATTTAAAAATATAGTCAATGCGTTAGACCTACAGCTTAACAGCCTTGACACAGACAGACCAATCAAATTCATAGGTTGTCTTTTGGCATCTCATTAAGTTGCAAAGTTACATTAGTGTCTTTTACAGACCAACAGTGAACACAGTAGGGAGAGATGTCGCCTGATCACTATGACCTATATAATATTTGCATATATTTATGAACGGGTTGGTAGTTAAGAAAAAAACGAGTACACAATTTGGGTGCCCAGAGAATTTCAAATTATCTGCCTTGTATCCTTTCATGAGGTCATTGGCTCAGCCCTTTTAACCACAGGACAGTTCAGATGGCTACATGCCGTCACAACAGACAACTAAAAAGATCAACTCACTCATCAACACCCTCTCAAATAATGATTTAGTAACATAAATGAATGGAACTTTTCAACACTGACATAACTCAATAAAACTGAAGTCCTTAAGAGATGGGACAGGCTTTTAGTCGACTCTTAAAATAATTATATGAGGAGAGAACAAAGGACACATTGGCTCATTGGAGGGAATCCAGTGTTCACGGTTCAGAATTTTTAATCTGCCAGCTCAACTGAATAATGAAGTACGAGCCTCTGAGCTGCACAGTGTACTCACCTCGTCTCTTCTACAGTAAAAACTCATTTGTTGGTTTTATGAGCTTGATATCTGCATTGGAAATATTAAACACTGTAGAATAGGGTATTACTGTAACCGACTACTTTCAGCCACAGTGATATTCCAACACCTTCATTAAGGTTAATTTTTATTTAATCAGGAATCTTCAAACCTCAGTAATGACATTGACCCTTGTTATAGCCTCATGCACCACCCATAAGTAAGCCATTGAAAATAGATCAAACCCTGACCCCTAATAGGTGAACTGGAGCGGGTGTGTGTACGAGGTATTTAAATAGCAGTGCTGACACATTAATAAAGGGAGGAATCATGCTTTGATCCTATAAAAGCAGCCGTCACTCCTCTCTGTCTTCACACGATCAAAACAAAGTGAACACAGTGGAAGGCTGAGGCTGTGAAAGCAGTGCAGAGATATAAAGAATTGCCACTAGGGGCCGCTGTAACCCGAACTCGTGTTCTCACTTAAAGCCATCAAGTGTGAATAGATTGAGGTCCAAATTGAGGAGTAAACCATCGTCATTACCGCTCATTATGAAGTGGTTGTCAGTTTCAAGAGAATAAATCACAAAAGATATATGAAATCACACCAACCAGAATGATTTCCCCAGTTTGCATTATGAAATTGCAGTCTTTTTTAAGACAAATCAACTTTAAAAAAAACAGCCCACTGCAATTACTTGAATGTATCAGGTATAGCAGCATAATGTGTGTCTGCCTATTGAAGTTAGAGGCCCTGTAGTGAAGGACAGAGCTTAGTTCTGAGTACGGTGTAGCATGAAATGACACTAAACAGAGCAGGTAGACTGTGCTTTGATGATACATACATACAGCCGTCTGATGCTTTCATTTAAGCCCTGGATTGACTGGGAGTCCCTCAGTGACAGTAATTAGCCAACACAGAAATAGCTAATTAAAAACAGCCAAAGAGAGCAAGCTTTACTTTGAAAAATTAATTAATCACAACTTTGTTGAGTCGTGACAGCCCTTTAAACACATTTTAGCAACAGTCAGACTGTGTTAGGTACACGCTTCATTTCTGGTCCTTTCACCTTTAACCGTGGGTTTGGTTTGATTTCCATTTGTGTTCTTAAAGGTTAGAGAAAGAAATGAGTCAAAGAGGCAGTCACTGCGTTTGACAGGGTGCTCACAGGCATCAGAGCAAAAACCTGCAATTGTTAGAGGTTGGTCATTACCAACATTTACAATGATAGTGCTCACAGGCTGATGTCTGGCACCTAGTGGGCGAGAACTCAGGCTTTAACTGTGACACAGTGTGGGCATCGCATCAAACACGGGCAGAGGGGGAGACACAGGCAGAGAGAACGCGGGCGAGAAAATTATGAATAGCTGGAGAGAAAACAGACAGAAAAGTAGTTGTCCTCTCATTTTCAATTTTATATTCATGGGCAGCAGAGAATCTGCATGTCATTCAGCCACAGAGCTTCTGAACAGCAGTAGCAACAACATTTCTGTGAACCTTTCCCAAACTAAACAGGTATTATCTCAAGCAGCAGACAGCAAATGAGGGGATGATACATTCTGTTCAAGATTCTTCATCACCAGCCTTTTTTCTTTATCACAAAGTAGAACAGGAAAAAAAACAAACAAAGCTTCTCCGCTTTGCTGAAACGTTGGTAGCACTTCAATTAAAACCCTCCAAACACTGCTCTTCCTCTAGAAAACACAGCCAGAGCATAGGAATATTATAAAGAGTACAGTACAGACCTGCTCTCTTTGTAAAGTGTCTTGAGATAACACTTGTGAATTGGCGCTATACAAATAGTGATTGATCATTTGATGATAGATTGATTATGTTCACATTAAGCCGGCACTGTGAAAGCTGGGGGAGATCAAACAGAATCACCATCTTGCATCCAATCTATTTGCAGCACATGGAAATTGCTGTAGTTAATGAGGTTTTCTCTAAAACATTTGTTCTGTCTTTTTTTTTTCCCCACACAAGAAGCCAATTTAAAACCCACCATTTCCAAGTCAAGTAATCTATGTAGAGAGTTTCAGAACATCAGAAACGTAGATGCCTGATCCAGTACAAACCAGTTTACCTACAAAACTATCACTCCAAGCCTGTATGTGTAAAATGAAAGGTGACTCAATATAATCATAAAGTCATGGAACCTATAGCAAAAATCTAAACCAGTTTCATGCAATGCATGAGAAAACAGGATAGTACTATAAAACAAAGGCATAGGCTTGAAATAAAATTGTTCTGGTTTCGAGCATCTGAAATCCCCTTTCAAAGAGAGTTGGATGACTTTCCAAAACAGATCCAACATCTTCTTTAATCAGCCATATAAGAGATGTTTATGTGTTTACTTCTTGCGTACTACAGCAGTCAACAGCACTAACATCTTCGAGAAGAGAAAAAGCTAGCACTGTAACCCCCCTTTATATATTTCACTGCATCTTGTCTTTGGGTATGACAGCCAGCACTTCTCCTTGCCCTTTCATGTGGCTGTTGAAAACAGGTATAAACACTTGGATGTGGGAGGACTCGGATGTTGTCGATGACCTTTGTATCTATTTTTCAGGCACAGATGTGGCGAATTCTATCCCAGAAACATGCATTCAAAACTGACTCAGACATATTTGTGTTTGCCAAAGAGCATCGCATCCTTTCATCATGTTGCCTTCCTACTTTGCATAGAGAAAAGAAAATCTATCTTTTTTTGCTTTCTCCCCTTAACCCTTGGTGTCTTTAATGACTGCTTGTTTGTTTTAGATAAACATTTCTCACAGCCTTTTTTCATTTTACTTACTGAACACAATGAACAGTTCCTGACAAGAAACAGGCAGCCATACATACAAATATATCATAACATGCATAGTTATAAAAGATTTAAAGACACAAGATAACAACTTTTACCAGCAAATATTAAGATCACCCACAACCCTAAATATATCAGAACATACAGCCAGAGTTTCAGGTCGTAATGTAATTCGTTTCAAGTGAAGGGAGCAGCAAAACTTTCCTTTTTTTTCCAGTTCAGTTCTGACTGTTGGAACGGACAGCAAGAAAAGTCCTGGGAACGAAGCTTTAAGGTTCCTGTACTGTTCTGATTAATGTAGGTCAGAGGGTATGAAGGAGTTAGCGTATTGACAGAGACCAGCTACTGAAACAAGTAAAAATATAAATAATTCAGAACTCTTTCACAGGTCACTTCGGGCCTAAAAGTTTACTTTAAGGTCAGGAATGACCTCTTACAAACAAGTCATAGTAACTTTCCTTTGCATCTTTCAACCTATTCCCACCGACACATAAATGACAAGAGCCAATTTCCTGTTGCCCTCCCACACACCCCATCTTAATTGCAGACCAAATCCTTCGTGCTTAGCGTTTCAGGACAGTGTAAGCTCACCAAAGTCCTTCTTTCTAAAGCTTTCATTAGTTGCTGATTGCTGTCAGTGCCTGCTGGGCTTGGTAGGCTTTGGCCTCCATTAACAGGCCTGAGTCATACACATGATTGTATGAGCCAAACATCCAGCTGAAGAAGAGATAAGTATTTATTGGATGTGTGCTGTATTGTAAACTGCCCCAGTCCATGTTTTTGTGCTTTTCTCCAGAAAAAGCATAGGCTGTGATGTGAAGTGAACTGTCACAGCAACAAAATCCCCTGACAGCATGTCATGTGTTTATCTGATACCAAAAGGTGGTTGTGCGCTCTGCCTCATTCCATGGGTGATAACTCTCTAAAAAGAATAATTAAGTGTCACACTGATATCTCCTGACTGATATCTCTGCCTGATGTCCTGTAACCCACTGTGCACCGCCTGGCAGAACTTGTTCATTACTTGAGCCTGTGCTCAGTAAGTGAAGAGCCATCTGCCATAGTGTCATGTATAAAGCAGATAACAATATGGCTGTCAACAGAAATTAATCTGTATTTCATTAATACTGAAAGGATAATAATTGAGGGTTTATTATTATTATTAGGGTGCTCTCTATGTGTGGTTCAATTTGATAAGTAACAGACCAGAAGGTAAGTGTAGATGTAAAACACTTTGACCTATATTTATACTAGTGCTGTCAAACTATATATTTTTTTCTGAAATTCAATTATTAATTGGGATTAATCGCATAAATTATGAACTATAATAAAAAAAAAAGTGTGCATTTAATTTTTTTAATGCTTTTATTTGTACTGTAACCTAAGGGTACTTCACTTCTTGTTTAGATACAAAGCTGCTTTTATTTTGAAAGAAAATAAGGTACTTGTGGCAGCCCAAAGATTACAACATCACAGCCATGGAAAAAAAGGTTAGTTATGGATCCAAAAGTTAACGACAAAAAAAATAAAAAATCTGATTAACAACAGGTTAACACTTTAAGGGTTAGGTCTTTCAAAGCAATTCTATTCAATTTAAAAATCTTTCAAAGTCTTGACTATTTTTTAATTTTCATAGACTTAAATGTTTTGCTCTCAAAGATTCATCTCTAGCCCAAGTCTTAAGAGATAAATTTAAAACATTCTAGTCCATAACAAGGTTTATGTGTTTGTGTGACATATAACTCGAGTCTAAATCTAAAGTCTGAAGCTCTTCTGCGTGTACATTTTTAATCACACCCAAACAAAAAACTTCAGCATTGAGCTCAAGGGTGTACTTGAAGTAAGTACAGACATGTTAACTCTCATACTAAAGGGATCCTGCTCTATTTTGATAATTCAGTTGAGCTTCTGCATTACATTGTTCTCTGTGTTATTTATACTACATGGGAAGTGCAGAGTGGAAAAAGAGCATGAGCATACTTTGCCTTTAGCATGGAGCAGCTTTTTTGAAAGAAAGTCAAAGCATCATTGGTTGCTCTCAAACCCCTCCCTCTGTCAAGTGAAACACATGGTAATGGACCATAATGCAGCTAATAGGCAGCATTAACCACATTGTAACACACTCTAATGTTGACAATGAGGCAACAAAGAAAAGTTCAATGGTTTTAAGACCTGTGGAGCAAAATGCTGGAGATTTTTTTTTTGTCAGCAGGATTGAGGAGTGTCAAACAGAAACCCCAAGGCGGTTGCTTTGAGAGGATTACAGATGTCTTTGAGCAGAAACTTCACCCTGCTTTGCATGCATCCATTTATTACAGAAAACTCAGCTACACCTAACAACTCAAATGCAAAGGATGACAATATCACCTATTCTTTATTAGAGAAATGCTGTGTGGTTTAATGTAACTGTACGTTTTTGATTTTTTCGAGAGCTCTATTTTGACATCTAGCTGTGGAAAAATGTAAAAGAATATTTATACATTTTTTAGATGCATTTTCTTTTTTGGGATGTAAAATATTGCACGTTTGCATAACTTTACTAGACGTCCACATTTGTACAGGTGTATCTATGCTAAAGTCTTCTGAATGTAGTAGAATGATTAAAACACTTTTTGTCTCATGTGAAATATGGTATCATGGCACATTTCTTAGATCTCTAGGACATCAAGAAGTAAGACATAAAACTGTTACGGTAATTGTATCAATGCATGATCAACATCTATTTTAATTTACTAGTCAGAAACTATTAGCCAAACATTTAATAGTATCACTATCCCTGAGGCTAATCTTTTTTCCTTCCAGCACCAAACTCTATATTTTGGAATGGAAATGGTGTTAATGTTTCAACAGAACACACACAGTTCCTTTAGTCTTGAGGTCCATACCTTGCAGAGCCTCCTTGGCTCGGTCCAGCTCCTGCTCCTTTTGGGCCAGCTGCACACGGAGTTCGGTGGCTGAGAGCACGTCGGCCGAGCAGCCTCCCTGGGTCTCCTCCAGGTCCTTATTCAACATGTCCTTCATCTGCCGCAGCAGGTGCACTTCCTCTTGGAGCTGGGCCACCTCCTCACGCAGCAGGACTACAACATACAGAAGCAAAAATGGAGCTTTATCAGACTAATACCCAACTATAATCATGAAAATTATGTCTTTGCCAGATGGCCTTCACAGGGTAAGCATTAACAGGGAAATAGTTTTGAAGCGGAAGGCAGATGTAACTCCAGCAGAAAGAGAAGGGTCCTGTGCTTATTGAATCAAGTGTGTGTAAGCTTTAAATGCAAATTTCTGAAATGCAAAGTTGATTTAGCAACACTGTAGGAGGTTATAGTTCCATTTGTAATTGAAGTAACTGCAGTGCCATGTTACTGCTGCAACACAAAGACAAGGAGGGGTCCAGTAGATGAGCATAGACGTGAAAATGATATTCTATTGAGTTTTGTCTTTGAAGCTGTCTGTGGAAAATGCTCTGTGTGCGCAGAAAAAGGGTGTGCGCATTAAAAATTATCTGACTGGAGCTTTAAAGAGCTTCTTCCCTGTGTTGTCAAAGAAGCAAGCAATGAAAGGAAAACAACAGCCGAGAGAAATAGATTTTTCCTCTAAATTTGACTGACTGAAAACGTTTCAAAGTGTTTTCAAAGTAGCAGCAGCAAAGGGAGGTCTCCTCGCTTTTAAAACAGGCCACAACAGAAAAACAATTCACACTTTGATTTCTCACATCAATCCTCAAGAGAAATATTTAATCTAAAAATGTATTTTTTGCACACTGAATGTGCCTGTCTAGATGGAGCATATGGAAAGTTATTTATGTACGAAAGAGAAGAGTCATTCTGCTCAATTTCATGCATCCTCCAGGAGCTAAGGGGGGGGGGGGGCACTATCAAGTGCTTGGCATAAATCACACTTCATTCTCTCCAATCCAAGCTCCAATATTACTCTCTGAAAAAAAAAAAATCAATCAGAGATGAATGGGAGAAGTGAGACAAAGGGACAAACTACTGACAACGGAAAAGACAGATTAAAAACAGAATACAGATTACTTTTAGCTTTGTAATGAAGTGTGATGAAGTGTGAAAATGTATACCAGGGAAAATGAATGTTGAATGTATGAATGTTACTGTTTTTTGAGTTCTTAACAATCCCCTGGATTACTACAATTAACCAGAAAGACCTTTCAAAAAACTAACCACCTTACCACAACTCACACTGACATTTCTTGAGTTGTCCCTTTAAAGAGGACATATTATTACCCTTCTCCACCTTTTCAAACAAGCTCCTGTGGTCTAAATGAAACATCTGTGCTGTGCTTTGTTCAAAATATAACATGAATTAAGCACCAGAGGAGGTTTGTGACCCTGTATAAACCAGCTCTCTCAGAATGCTCCGTTTTGGTGTGTGTGTCTCTTTAAATGCAATGAGCAACCCCCCTCCCCCCTGAGTTTTCGCTCCTCTGTTAAGAGAATAAAAATGGCAGACATGTGCAAAAGTTTTGTTCTAGGCTGGGGGTGGAGTCCATGGGTGGAGATATCAGTGGAAGGGAGGGCATTTTTTTTTTTTTACCAGAATCCCACTTGTGACATCACAAGTTGAGCAAATTAGAAACGGGGCATTTTTCTCTGTGTTGTAAGACTTATGCAGACCACAAACAAAAGACTGGATGGATTTATTTCACATTTTGTGGGTCAGTAGAAACTCAGGTTACCCAAATATATGTTCAAAAACACTGTACAAGTGGATTTTTCATAATACAGTATGTCCCCTTTAACTCTTGTCTTGCACCAATAAATGTGATTGATATGTTACACAAGGGGACTATGCAGGGTCAAGCACTGCATCAAAGAGCTCACATTCCCCTCCCCTGAAACCAAAATGAACCTTTAAGACCAGCTCACTGCTTGTAAAATGTGGACCTGTTTCTTAATTTGTGTTCACTGACTAAATGTAAGTGGCCGAGGAGAAGGGCCTCCTGCTCAAAACCAAAATGAAATGTAAAAGAGGTTATTAGGAGGCGGGGGCAAGAGAAAAACGTAGTCGAGTGAAGTGTCATTACACAGAGGTATACTTAATGGACCCGATAATAGAACCACATTTTATGGAGCAACTCAAGCGGCAACAGCGCTACTGGCGAACCAAAAAGCTGGTCCGTTAAAGAAACAACCCCCTGCATGATACAGTTCAGTGGTGTTTTAAAACCCTATAATAGACACAGACTCCATTACTCGTTCATTAAGTTTGCATACATTGATTGTGCAAAAGCAGCAGAAGGGGGAGCCATAAATATTGTAAGAGACAAGGACACAGAAAATGTTGGTTACGACTGATAAATACTGTCTGGAAATCAGGGCCCACTGGGTGGGGGATTATCAATATTGGATAGAAAAAAAATCTGATACCGATATATCTTCTGATTAGCGATAGATGGATATCAGATATACACATTTATAGTGTTGCTCCCTCAGATGCAGTTATCATACCCTTGTAGAAAAGATATATAATAAAGACAAGATAGTCACTCAAATGGAAAGTAACTGTGCATGTATGTGCATCACTACTTGACACGCTGGAGAGACATAATGCTTGTTTTAATCCATGTAGCATACTCTGTGGTGACAGCCAGAAAGAGAACAGCAAGTGTAATACAATTATACTCAAATAAAATGCTTTTTGACTGGTGAATACATTTTTGGCATATCTGCGATGAAATTAGCCAATACCTGGATATGCTAATATCGGCTGATATTATCGGCTAGCCGATTAATTGGTCGGCCTCTACTGGGAAATATGCTGTGACACTTTCAAACTTAAAGAATTGTGTTGTTTCTGTGATAACTAGAATATGTGTATATATTTGCAGATAAATGCATGTATTTATCCTTTATTTAACCAGGTTGGTCCCATTGAGAATAAAAACCTATTTTCCAAGGGAGACATGGCCACAAGAGTCAGCAGCAAAATCACAAAGTTACAGACAGAGACACAAAGAGAGACAAAGTACTATTTACAAAACACAAAGATTTGCTTTAAAAGAGAACCATCTATAAGTCAAATCGGGTGGTTAAATCTGTCAATACAAGGCATATATATAAAAGAAAACAGCATACAATAACAGTATATACTTCTTGCTGGGTTTATATTATTTTTTAATGTAAGATTATCCATATGATTTTCTTCCATAGTCAGTTAAAATGACTAAACTGAGTACACACAATAATTGTACCTCTGCATAAATTTTACTTACTAAATTAGCTCACAGTTCAAACTAAAAATAGAAAAGCAACAAACAGATGAATAAAGGATCCATCTATCTATCTAACTTAAAATGACATACATATCTACGTATATTTTAACAACTTATAATCCACATTTTTTTATGTTCTTAATTCATCATCTTTAAACGTGCAAAGGCATCCTGAACTATCTGTATTTCCAACTGTTTTAATCTAGTCAAAGTTTTTTTGATCTTCTAAATCAGTGTTTTAATCTCTTATGGTGTCACTGCATTTTGGAAAAGCACTTTGAATTGTCTTTGTAAATGTGGGATATTAAACTTGCTTTACCTTAGTTGTTTTTAGTGTTTCTGACGATTACATTACTTTGGCAGACATTTCTACGAAGTGGCTGTACACAACCTCTCCAGGAGAGTATGAAAGTTCAGGTTGACTAGATTTAGAATTAAGACCAAATCTTTGCTTTTGTAATCAAAATGTAACACTTGGGGACTCAGTTCTGTGTAATAACACTGAATAAGAAAACGAGGAGGTCTAGACAACTATTTGCAGCTTTGAAATATCTCTGCTTTACCAACAAGAGGACCCTCACCAGCCTTGATAGGAAATGCAAGATTAGCTGTCTAAGTAAGCTGCATAGTTAATAGAATGTGTGAGGAGGAAAACAGATAGGTTATTGTCTTTTTCAGCCTTCTGCAACCTGCATGCTGCTGATGAGTACTCTAGATAAGGCAGGGAGAGCTGGAGGGAGGGAGGGAGGGGTGGAGAGGACAGGAGACAGCCACCTATTTTTCAATGTCCTCATCGTCTCTAGATTGGCAAGAAGTATGAACTGTTTTCATGTGCTGCATCACTAATGACAGTCAGAGTGGAAGCTTCCTGATAAGAGCTATCTCTCCCACTCTGCCCTCCAGGACTCGGTGCAGTTAATTCCCATGGAAAGTGGTCCCAGCTACGCTTGTGTCATAGAAAGTCTGACGCTCCTTATTCAGCATGCATATACATTTAAATCAACACAGTAATCTTTTTATGTTTTGTTTTGTACTTTTATCTTTTGAATTTCAGCCTTTAGTCTTTTATTTTTGTATTGTGCAAATAAACCAACACATTCTTCTTAACTTTGTATGGTGCAATGAACTTTTCAGTAATCAAAAGTCTCTATTTTCTTTTCTGATTATTTGCATTAAGGGGCATTTTTTTAGGTCTGACAGAATGAAGTACCACAACAATTTTATAACTATAGGTTATAGAATATATACATTGTGTTTAGGAAATTACACTGTGTATTACAAATATGAGTAATTCATAATTAATACTAACCTTGGATAAATTTTTTACTCAAAGATTTACAGCCCTGAGAGGAACTCAATACAACTCATCTCAATAAGCTTAAATGCTTTTCATAATTTGTGCTCAAAACATCCTTTCCCAATATTCAGTCATATTCAACTGTTTCCCATCCCAACCAAGGCTTTTTAGCTGCACTGCCACTTAACAGTCAACACAAACTTCTGGACATAATTACTTCTTTGCTTGAACAGAAACAAACAAAAAAGAGAGCTGGCAGACATAAAAAGATATGTTTCTGTCAGTGTGTAGGACTGTGAGCACACGCAGGAAGTATGACAACACAACAGACTGCTTGTTCTGTCTGTTGCCATCACAACCTCAGCACTGGTGGGGATGAGAGGATGTATTGGGTCGGATGTTTGCTCCTTCTGTGCTGTTAGCTCAGCCGCCAGCACCACCTGTTCCCTGTGGTCTGACAGAGGCAGCTGATTCTTATACTCCAGATATTTTTCAAAACAGACATTTGGTAAAAGTGAATATTTCTCCCTTAAATTAGAGAAAAAAAT